CAGTATGCATAGTACATGGATGTCAAGGAATTAATACACAGTAATATTGCACTGACAAAATTTGATTTTCTAGTTGTATATGCAGCTTATTTCCCAACACTACATTGGTGATATCAATGCTGAGACAGCAGCAAACATTGGTCTGGAGAGTGGTCTCATTTTGTGGCAACAACGTTAAACAGCTCGTTTCGTTGAAATTTTGTTGACGGCATTGTTGGCCGTGTCGGCGTGTTTGGTTCCGAGTAAGAAAGCAGCGTTAGTCGTGAGTGAAAATTTGAGGTAGTTGCAATAAAGATAGCAGCTCGAGGGTGTTTGCTGCTTAGCTTATCTTGTGATCTAGTCTCCACCAAAGAGAGAATTAAAGGGACCCAGAACCTATATTTAAGGTACACATTTTCTTGAGTGCAGCGGAAAGCTTACCGGTCAGACTTTGTAATCACAGAATGGTAAAGCGGAAAACACCGTAGATTATTTATAATCGGATATTCTGATTTGCGGCGATTATGCAGTCTTAAAGGGACACTAAAGTCTACTATTAAGTCGACGTTGATTGCAGAATTGGTGGTCCAGAAACCTTGTAGTGTTACTTTTCTGCCAAGGAAGGGCTTATTTTGAAATAAAATCGTGTTTTAGTGGTCCGCATCAGGTTAGCGCTCTTCAAATTACCCCCCTCAAGAAGCGGACCGACCGGTCTGTCTCGCATCACTGTTGCCGTGCACAACGTTGCCCGGCTTTGTTGCGCTAGTAGCAGCAGACTGAAAGCAGGGGGAGACACAGCAGCAAAAATGGCCATTAATCAATTTCCCTTCATTAGCTCCTAGATAGCAGACACTTTTGTTTTAACTGCACCCCGCTAGATGCTGTCCCGTGTAACCACGCGAAAGTTGAATTTTCGAACCGTTCACGCAACTCTGTATAGTAACATATGGCGGTTCTTTTTTCCATGAATCAAACAGAACAGAACAAGTAGCATTTTATTTAGTCTCTCGATGCACGGAAAGTTCTTTTATTTATACTCCGTTTCATACATCAGGTGCAACACTGTGAAGGCTAGGCAAGTAGTCCGTAAAGAAAACACGAGGTGTTGCTCCGCGCGGTTTCAATGCCGAGTGGTCTGACGCGTCGCTCCAGAGAGTTCACCATAGTTTTGAAGTGCATGGGTTCGAATCCACGTGGTGCCATTTTTTAAAATAATTTTTGCGAGTTTAATTAGCGTTCAATTGCGCTCTATTAGCGCAAGATTCCGTTTTCTCTTAGCAAAGGTGAAGCCGATGTCCTTCATTAGCCTTTTCGAAGCTGCCACGTCAAGTAAAAAAAAAAAAACGGCTGCGCGGGTCGCGCGGAGAGCGAAAACCTGATACGAAAGCGACAAACATAAATTACCAACTCGCATATTTGGATTGTTTATCCGACAACACAGGCGTTTGTTTTTTAACCTGATGACAAATATGTATGCTTAGAAGTTTCCCGAGAAGCATTTATTGATTCTCGTACAACCCAAGCGACGCACTACTTTTTGGTCGCGGCAGTACACAGCGCAAACAAGTGCGCTAGCTTTGACAGCGTTGCACATGATGTATGAAACGGAGTATAGTGCAGTCAGATCGATTACTAGTGATTATTTGTAGGCGGTCCGTCTGATCTCACCAGGATCATTTTGAAAATGTCCTACTGCGGCGCTTGTGTTGTGCATTTACCTTAATTTCTCGGTAAGTAGGGCACTGTTGTTGATAATATTCTCGTTTTAGGTGTTGTCATATATTGAGCTTTCACTCTGACGTAAATTGTCATTTGACTTTAGTGTTCCTTAAAGGAGACATGCTCCAAACAGTGCATGTGATCGCAATCGCGATTATACCCCAGCGTAACGCCAGCAGTGATGAAAAGTGAAGACCTAAGTACAAACACGTAATGTTGCGTTTGTCTAGCCTGCAGTGTTGCCACCACTGTTTTATAGCGTGCTAAATTATTTTACAAGAGCTACAGCATTTTCCAGGGGCTTCTTATGCAAGTACTCTTGGTCATACATGTGTCGTTCTTTCGACTTTAGCCAAGTCGAGCTAAGCCACGTCTTTGAAAACAAAACCCACGGCTTTACAAGTGATCTGCAATTCACGCATAGTATTTCGCGTGCGGCCATAGCTGGACGGCTTCGATATGTCATCGCTGGACAACTTGAGCGATTTAGAAAAACGAGTTTTGGCTCGCATGCGAGCGTATAACTCGCGCCCCTCTCAAGTGGTGCCAGAGCGACAGGTTTCGACAGACGACAGCGGTAGTGATGAATACGACGAATCGTCACCATCACTACCACCAGCAGCGCGCATGAAGCGATTCTCCACAGAGCAGTAGGCCGATAGCATTTCGCGCGTCGCAACCATCTCATTCGAATTCTTGAGCGCGCCAGACACGATGGAAATCGAGCTACTGTGTAAATGGCCGCACGGTTGCGTGCATGCGCAACTGCACCCGTTTCCCTGCAGAGGTCATTAAAGCAGTGGCACTTTTCATGATGTACTTCTTTTACCTTGTAAGCCACATAGAAAAAAAAAACAAAAATGATCAATAACATACATATTCAAAAGCTCCCATTTTGGTGCGCTTTAAATAATCACAGCAAAGTTATTAGGACTTCATAATTGTGTTTCATGGCTAGGGGTGCGACATGCCAGTTTTGGTTACTTTTGAACGCGATTTACAAATATAAGTCCTACTCGGATCGCAAAAAGTATGCTGTCACCTGTCACCATAATTCATGCACTTTTCTTTTCCACTGGAATCTAATCACCCATTCAGGCCAGTTGTTGGTCCCTTTAAGGCACGCTAGCGATTAAGAACGTGATAGTGTGTTTGTGTGTGCACACGCATATTGCTATCGCGTTCTGGTTGCTTAGCAAATTGAATGATAAAAAAAAGTTTGTCGCAAAACTTTCAACCAATGTATAGCGAAACTCGCACGCTATCTGTTAATAAAAATTCAATCGACACGTGACCCTTATTATTCTTGATCCTTAACAGTCTGGCTGGTAGCATCTCATAAAGGCTTCATTTTGGCCTCATGCATTGGCGGCTACATGGTATTTGTGTGAAGAACTTCATTGGGTCCTGTAACAACCTTGGGTTGACACAGATCGCACCCATGTTGAGACTGTCCGGCCGATCCCATTGGCCATACTTTGCCTTTTTAATAAGCCACGTGGACTTCAACTTGATTAAGTGCTTATCAGAAGCAAGTGCACTGCCCAAAAAAGTATATTTTGTACAGCTATTGTCCACGAATACGTATATTTTTTATCATTTTTTGTCATTTCTAGGTAACAAAAGGAATTATTATAGAAAATAATTCTTCACAATCAGCAGGTCTAGTTGGGCATGCTATCTGTTGAAACAAGGGCTGAACATCTGCTTCTTTCTGGTATAAAGCTATGTGACACTGTGCAAACCATATCATGATCATGAGGTACTAGTATACACTAGAATGCACAATAAAAAGCAGCCTGCCATTTCTCGGAACAGGTTTCCCGATTTTTTGCTGCACCGTCTGGTATGTTAGGCAGACCAGAAAATCCTAGGCACAGCATTCGTAGAGACTGTAAGTTTTTTTTTTTTGAAGTATGCAACAGGATGTTTTTCTTATATTCTGCAGGATATATTGCAGAGATCGCTTCTTCCAGAAAATCCGTCACACACACACATGGTCGGTAGGCTCCAAAAGTTTGTCTGCTCTTGGAATCTCCCGTCGCTCTGGTTCACGCGAAGCCTTGGAAAGTGACACAGCATGTGTAAAAGACCTATTTTAGGACAAAACATCTTTTGCTCTTTTCGAAGCGGGGCCAGCAACAAGGCTGCTGACGCATACTCGGCATCATATGCAGCATCGAGGTATAGGAGGGTTCCAAGTGACATCACCCGCTTGGTGCGCCAGTGGCCTCTGCTGCCATCTCGGCGGTTCATAGTGGCACAGATGTTCTGTGGTGGCGCAGATGTTCTCTTGTGTGGCACTTTACTGGTTCTGTCGAATCAGTGAGCGGCGAAGAGAGGCTGTGTGCGTGATAGTGTGCATGAGGCTGCAGAGGGTAAAGATAGAATGCGGTTGAGTGCCTTTGTGGAGACCACCAAAATGGATGTGCTGCCTTTCGACGCTGGCGCCATCTCACGGGCCCGCCCTGTGCACGTGTAACATAAGTGCACTGAATCGCAAAGTACGAATCGGCGAAACAAGTGCAGTGACAGGGCTCAGGGGCAGGGGGTTACATGTTTTTAAATTGCAGAATGACAAAGCTTTCCCAAAGATCTTCCTTTGCGCACGAATTTCAGAATGAGCACTGCGGACCTTGACCCCCCACATACAGTAGTGCAATCTCAACTCGTGCGTCAAAAACTACACATGGCTCAAGGTCATCGTGGGTATGAAGTGGCCGCACTCCCTCCTTAAGCAAACCAACCAGTGTCAGCACCTAACTTATTTGTACACCGTAATTGGCACACACACGGCATCTTCTCTGCTTGTGGCTGGATCGAGCAGAGTAAGCTCGGTAATCAAGAAGAATGAGAAAGCATTGCAAGTGTCGGTGATCAATATGCGAACAGCAGTGCCGATAAATAAGAAAATTAATTTCCGCCGCTGCTGTGAGGAAGTGAAGATAAAGGTAAAAATGAAGTTTTGGCCTCCGTAGCGATCGCGTGGCGAAACCAAAACTACGAAAGGGCATTGCCTATTGGCTTTGTCGCATACCGTGCCATGCGCTCAAGCTAGAAGTAAGTTATGTTTATCTCCTCAAGGAGGCTCGTAATCGTTTCAAATGCTTCCAAGACGTAGGAAGTGGCAGCACTTTTCAGTGAGCATACATTGCCATCACGGTGCAAAATTTCATTAGTAGTCAAAAATGCACCCTTAAGGCAGAAACCTAGCTTGTGAGACAGAAAACTTCCAATCCTGAAAACCCTTCAATTATTAATAATTTGTGAAAAAATATTGATGTGTTTGTCTCCCATTTCAGGCTGGCCAGGGGAAGTTCAACCGCGCCAAGCTATTCAACGTGGGCTACCTGGAGGCACTGGCATTGTACGACTACCAGTGCTTCATCTTCCACGATGTGGACCTCATACCCGAGGATGACAGGAATCTGTACACCTGCCCCGAGCAGCCTCGCCACATGTCAGTGGCCATAGACACCATGAAGTACAGGTGAAGTGAAAAGTTGTATTGCCACTCGCATCTGAATACCGAAATCAAGTGTTTCTTTTTTTGCTTGAACTCTGCATAACTTGTGCAATTGAGCGTTTTGTTCACTGTGGATACGACGGACCAACTTATAGAGCCCCTGACCATGCTTAGCACTTCATACAAACAAGCGTTTAATTTTTTTTAAACTTATACCCACGAAAAGCAGAGAAGTAACTCTGCTTGTACTTTATGAATTCTAAAATTTAGTGTCAGTCAAGGGGGCAGACTGGTCTTTAGGACCAAAACGTGCCAAAAAAATTCATTTTTAAAAATTGACATATCTGGTTTCTGCAAGTACTTTTTTATCTCTGCAAATTTTCACACACCAGGAAGTGGTAATTTTTTTGTAATGTCATTATGACTGTCCAGATTCTTGGAGCCGTTAACACACAGAAACTGCAAAAAAATGGGAAACCGGCTTTGAGGCTTCTTTATAATTTGCCGGCACCTGTGTGTTAGCTCTGCTACGAATCTATGTGCACCTTTATGAGGATTGAAAAACATGCGCACCATGATTGTTGCTTTTTGAAGAAGCTGTGTGTTTTCAGTTTTTGCATTTTTTCTCAGAAAAAGTGAATTCACGACTGTTCGATTTTGAAGCCTCAATATCTCTGCAGCTAGGGCAGGTACAACTTTTTGCAATGCAAACCTGTATGTGTGTAGAATGCAAGTATGGGAGCAGAATTTAGAACATGAGCCTTTTTAATTAATTACTCATTGGAATTGTAACACAATTCAACTGATTTGAAAATGGATAGTTCATTTTGCTGTAAAATAACCAAGAAAGGCCAAAAACAAACAAACAAAACTGCATACTTTTAATCTATAGTCTATGTTGCATATCTTAAATGTTGCTTTTAATTAAGTACTTTTTTCTATTGTGGCCCTAAACAATACGAGGTAAACTTAAGTTATTTCAAGAAGATGAGTTATAGGAAAACTAATTGAATATTTGACATCAGGAGAAAAATGTTACTTAGAAGTGTGGCAGCTTGGGCTAGTTGGTATGACATGATCATAGTTATAGCGCGAGAACAGAACAAACACACCAAGACAAGAAGGACACGAAGGACACGAGCGCTCGTGTGCTCTCGTGTCCTTCTTGTCTCTGTGTGTTCGTTCTGTTCTCGCGCTATAACTATCAGCAGAAAAAACTGCATAATCTTGTGCAGTTTGATCAAGATCCCTGAAGAAATAATTAAAAAAATGTCTAAGACCAGTCTGCCCCCTTGATTCACGAGGCAGTAAATGTTTTTAGTGCAGCCATTCAATGGTCGCTTGGAAAAGTGTTCCAGGGCCTCTTAATTGCCCAGTCGATGGGACGGACACTTCAAGGCTGCATAGCCCAGAGCAAGATCACGTTACAAATTTCATACCATGTAAGCATCAGTCCTCGTGTCAAAAGCAAGGGCAACCCTCTCCTTTGTCAAACATGTGAAAGGAAAGGGCAACCTGCTATGAGGTAAGAGCACGAGGTCAAGCGCAGCTCAACTTTTTACCTGTAATGCCCACTGTATCATATTTGGTACGTTGAATTTAATACCTCAGTAAAGCTACTACAGTTGTCATAAGCAGTTAATGCGGATTTGACATGTTATAAAGAATGTATCGTGACTTATGTATTATAGAATAAAAATTATTTGCAAATATTATTAAGTTATGCCTCAAACAATTTCATACATATTTTTGTTAAAAGGAACTGTACGAGAAGAATAAAAACAGTCAGCGTTTTCCCCGCAAATTTTCTGAAGGCATAGCATGTTTGTTGGCATAACAGAGTTAAACAATGAACACTCACGTGAAGACATGCCACAGGGATTGTGAAGTTCCTTTTTGTGCGTGTTTGTTGTTTAACCTGGTGTACACTGCCATATGCCATAATACTTTTATTAGGCTTCTGCAAATAGTGAATTTTAGGTTCGAAGCAAATTTGAAGTGAATAGTGATTTTCAGAAATCGGAATGGTATGTATGCTTTATAAAAAAAGGAATATTTATTGTGACCTAACTAAACTGCACAATATTTCTTTTGAATTGACATAGGGGCTCTATGCAAATGCCATTTTTTTTTTCATTCAAAAAAAAGACGAAACAACCTTGAGTGGTAGTTTCGGTAAGGTGCTTAACATTTTAAAATTTGTTATAGTTGGATCGTATACGCCAAGATAACAAGCTTAATAAAATGAAGAATTGATTTGAGGGTAACATGTTCTTTTAAAGTGGCACTGCAATACTTTTTCAAGTGGCCATGGGGCCAGTAAATGTGCTTGTTGCCTCACAGATTTACCACCGCAAAGTTTCTAGAATCAGTCCAGTACGAGCGGAGTTCCAAAAATTTGTCGCATGCTGCAATTTCATTCTCTCTTCTTCTCGTCCCAACGAAATAGCTGGAAGTAGGTGGGAAGGAATGGCACGGCAAAAAAAAAGAATGTCACACGCACCTTGTGACCTTCAGCACCTCTTAATTTTTTCTTTGAATGCGCGGCTTTTCAGTGCAATCGTGCCCAAAAGAGAGCACAGTTTGCAAGGTTATCTACTACAAGGTCGGGGAGAATGATCCTGCAGGAGCTGGGCCAACACCCAATAGCAATCAGACGCAATTACAATGATATCCCTGACAACATCAGGGAGACTATCACGGTATCTCCTATACCGAGAAACATGCATCCAGAACACAACGTCGGAAGGAGAGTAGCGAGGGCCAGGACTATACTTCGTCAAGTCTCAAACGAGGAACGAGGGGTCGTATTTGTTGACGCGGCTTCCTACGCCAATGGGAAAGCGTTTGCGGCAGTGGTAGTCGACGGGGCTGGCCATGTCGTCAACTCAGCGACGGTCAGGACGAAAGACCCAATCATTGCGGAACAAGTGGCCATCGCCTTAGCACTCAAGATGGATAACATTGAAGTCGTCTACAGTGATTCCATGGCAGCACTACGGGCGTTCGCCAAGGGGACGGTCTGTGAACAAACGCTGAAAATACTGCAAGGCAAGAACATAACACATCATCTTCTGAGTTGGTTCCCAGCTCACCTTGGACAAATCAACGATTCCCCTCCCAATCTCAACGAAGCAGCACACGAGGCGGCGCGAGAACTCTCCAACCGTGCCTCCCCGGGGATGCGTTCTACCGGTGAAGGGGATAACGGGGAAATTCTTACAACATATAACGAGCTCACTAAACATTTCTACCTGTCTAGAAGGATTTTCCCTCCACCTCACAAAAATCTAACCCGGCCCCAAGCACTTACATTAAGGCTTTTGCAAACGCGGATGTACCCTACTTTGAAAATGTTACACATCATGTACCCTGACCTATACCCAAGTAATCTTTGTCCATATTGTGGGGAAATAGCTTCATTAGAACACATGCTCTGGCAGTGCACCAAATTCGCTCATTTATCGCACATCACCTCTGCCAGATGGGAGGCGGCAATCCGCAGCTCGTCCTTGGCAGATCAGCTCTGGGCTGTCCACCAAGCCCGCGAGGCGGCTGAGGAGCTTGGCATCTCAGTCCCCACGTGGGAGCTGCCCGCAACACAGTGATCTGTGTTTTGGAGGACCAAATAAAAGTTTATCCAATCCAATCCAGTGCAATCGTGCACGTACTCGCGGACTAGCAGCGACCTCCCGCAGCGGTTCCGGTAACGACGAGCGCGCAATGCTCAAATCAGCTAATGGCTGTGACCAGAGCCGTATATTCCTTCTTGGCTGTGACAAGTGATCTCTGAGCTTGTAGTGTCGTTTGCCGAGGAAAAAAAGCAATTTTCAGCCTTGAAAATTTATTGTGAATAACAAGCCGCGTGCTGCGCTACATTTGTCTCGCATGTTCTCGGTAGCCTCTACTACCGATCGGCAGCGTTTTATAGGTTCAGTAAGTGTTGCAGGGCCCCTTTAAATTTGAAGGGGGTCTTTGCGGCAAAGCAAGTTATCGCTTGCATAAGTGCTTTCACGGTGTAGCCCTCCTACATGGCAGTGAAACCACCTTTACAGGCAGTGACATGCAGAATAATTAACATTTATTCGTTCATTATGAATACTTTGAAAATATTCGATAATTTAAATTCGAATTGAAGCAAATTTGAATATTCAACTATTCGTTCGAATATTCGAATACTCAACTATTCGTTCGAATATTCCAATGTTTCGAATATTCGAAACATCCGAATATTCGCACAAGCCTAAGTCTTTTATACAAAAAAAACATCGTAGGTGAGAAAGAAACGAGCATCAAAACTCCGCTGGCAACTTGTGTATAATATGAAATTCTTCCTTGTGCCAGAATTTATGTTTGAGAAAGACTCATACAGAAATCGCAGCGAAAGTCAAGAAAGAATGATTGTGGCAGTGTGTATAAATCATTGTTGTTCAAAGTCGACTTGCCATGGTGGCCCATGGCAAGTCGCCTCATGGTTTTTCTACTGCTCACCCACAGGCCGCGGTATCGAATCGTGGCTGCGTCCACTGAAAATTCAGCTGTCGCAGCCATGATTCGATTCCGCGGCCTGTGGGTCGGCAGTAAAACACCATTTTCAGTGGAGGCTAAAATGCTTTAGACTCATGTACTTCGATTAAGATGCACGTTAAAGAACCCCGGGCTAACAGAATTTTCGGAGCCTTTCCTAACGGTGTTTCTAATAACCATATGATGGCTTTGGGACTTAAAACACCAACAATTAATATAAGAATTTGCATTTCTCTGAATCGCAGTATTTCTCCAATTTACTTCTTTAACAACATCAAAGGCATGCTGAACCAGCAGATTGAATACCGTATTTACTCGCATAATAGGCGCACTTTTTCTTCAGAAAATCCGGCTCGAAGTTAGGGGTGCGCCAACTACGCGGGGTAAAATTTTTGAAATTTTTTTCAACTCGGTTCTCGCGCTTTAAATCTGCACACATGTCAAGTAAAAGGCGACCTTATCGTTTACCAATTAATTCACAACAAAACTGTGGAAGTCCACCACTTTGTCCTCATATGCTGCGGGCAAGCGCTGGCACAAGGTGGTCCGCCTTCGCAGTGCGAGGCCATGGCGCCGCATGAAACGAGTTGTCCATCCGGAGCTGGCTTTGAACTCTTTTGCTTCGATGCCCTGCACTCGGGCTATTCTGCGTGCCTCAGTCTGCACAATATCCAACGACACAGCACAGCCGTCTTGTTGTAGCTCCCGTATATGCCGGACCAGTTGCTCTTCGACGTTCGGATACCTGCCGGTCTTGGCACCGCGGAAAGCCCGTCGTGTCTTCTTCGTCGCCTTAAGTTTTTCTTCTTGGTCCCTCCAGTACCGAATACTGGTTTCTCCAACGCCGAAATGCCTGCTTGCAGCCCGGTTGCCGTGCTCCAGCGGGTACTGCACTGCCTTCAGTTTAAACCCAGCCGTGTAGCTCGCGTACTTCCGCATGGCGGAACCAAACACGACCACAACATACGCACACCGCTTGCAAAATGGTATTTCTTTCTTTTTCTCTGATGGTGATGATGGCGATCGAGCCCCCGGCGTTGTACACGTGACCTCCAAAAAGCGCGGCGATTTGGGGGGTATCAGTAATTGATGGAACAGCCGTTTTTTTTTTTTTTTTTCGCTCAGGGACGCTTTTTTTTTTTTCAAGTTTTATTTCGACAAACATGTTGGTTAGGTCGTTGCACTTCAAATTTTTTTTTATTTGCTCGTCGATTTGCCTTCTTTTTTTCTTCAGGGTACGGGGACCGCGTTCCAACTGTACCGCTGGGGGGTAGAATCGTTTCTGATCACGGCCAAGTTCGGGGTGCGCCTATTATGCGCGGAATTAAAAAAAATCGAATTTTCCACGACCAAACTAGGGGTGCGCCGATTATGCGAGTAAATACGGTACATATGGTATAAACTCCTTAGTTTTTTTGTTTTTTTTTGATGGAGAATTTTCTGCACAGCGCGTTTTCTTGTCGTGTAACAGCCAATTTTTTTCCTTCTTTGTTGTCACTCTTGCAGGCTTCCTTATGCCCTGATATTCGGTGGCGTCAGTGCCCTCAAGAAGGAGCACATGCAGCTCGTCAATGGCTTCTCGAACGAGTACTGGGGCTGGGGAGGTGAAGATGACGACATGTCGTATAGGTGAGTGGGTCGTGAACCCTTATTAGTGAGCTAAAAACTCAGAAATGAACAGTGTGAAAGTTCTCTCACTCAACTGAACGTTTTCATAATAAGAGGGGCGTCGAAAAACAATTCAACCATGTTACCATGCGGCTCTGCTAAAAACAGAGCCCTGCAACACCTGTACAAGTAGCCATGAAATGATTTCACCAAAGAAGCTTATTGCCTCACGAATTCAACCCTGCAAAAAGTTTTTAAAATGTGTGCAGTATGAGTGGAGTTAAATTTGTCGCACGTCGCAATTGCAGTCTCTTCTCTTTCATCCCGACGAAAGCGCTCAATGCTAAAGCAGGGAGGGATGGAACGGGGAAAAAAATACGTTGCGTGCCTCGTGAGCATGAGCACTTCTCTCTTTTTCTTTTTTCGAGTACAGTCGAAACCCCGCGAGTACGAAATCCTTAAGGTAATGAAAAATTTCCGGATCCCCGGTGAAGCCCATGTATTACGTATCTCGTGGCAACAAAATGTTTTTGGACAGCGATCCCGCAGTAACAAATTTTCTACCACGATGCCGGCCTTATTTTACTCTCCCGTCAAAGGTTAACTGTCGAAAATATGCTGGTATGCGTGTTATGCCCACTAAAAATTTGTAAACGTCTGCTTTTGCCGCGCTAGCGTGGGTACCGTCATTTTTGTTTAATTAAATTGGCGATGGGGTCTGTGTCCGGCAACATGCCTGGCCACACTGCAGCAGGCGATGGCAAATGATCATGCTAAGAGTGCAGATGACGCCGTCGGACGAGCTCAACAAGCCAAAGCAACACCAACAGTTGGAATCAATCAAAACGACCAAGAGAAGACTGGAACTGGTGGCAAAATCGTGATGAAGTTACAATGGCGCCTGAAAAAAGCTTGACGCCGAAAGTGCAGATTCTCCGTTGATTGTGGAAAAAAGAAAAGAAAGGCAACAATATCATCATGTTAAGCAGCCTGGCAGCGGCACCATTAGGGCGCGACACAATCCCATCCTACATTGCTTCGGTCATTTTGTCACATCCGTAGCCTCACACACCCCTGGGCTGACCCACCCAGGGGAAATCGGCAGTCGCCTTTTCCTATCTCTCTCTCCCTACATCTTCGTCTTTTGTTCTCACTTTACATCTTTCCTGTATTCTCCTCACTTCATTTCACTTCCAATTTTCCTGGCGGCAAGGGTTAACCTAGTGTAAATATCCAACCTTGGGTAGATATATTAGGTTATAGCGGCCATGTACGACTGGCGCCTGCGCCTCCTTCGCGTCTCGCAGCGTCACCTTGTTGGGCTCGGTGGTGGGTGGCTGGCATGGCCGCCGAATAAGCTATCAAATTTATGGGAACCCCTAGCCCTCTCACAACTAATCGCCCCTCCAAGAGGTGGCGCACCGATGCAATTTTTGAATTTGCTCTAAACAAAAAAGATAACTTCCCCAAGTACCACATTATCCACTGTAAAAGTACAGAAAAGAAAGCTAGAAGTATTTCACCTTTCCTTGTGTCCAAATGTCTCATAGAAGCGCTGGGCGCAGGCTACAAGGCCACAAAGACCGCCAGTGGTGACCTGTTACTTGAAATAAAAGACAACGCACAGTACCAAAGACTACATAAACTCACAGCATTTGGGGATCAGCCTATCACAATCGCACTGCATCGAACCATGAACACAGTGAAGGGTGTTGTATCAGATGGAGACCTGATGGACCTCTCTGATAATGAACTTCTAACAGGCTGGAAAGAGGAAAACGTCATTCAGGTGCAGCGTATTAAAATAAGAAGAGAAAATAAGGAAATCCCAACGAAGCACATCATACTAACTTTGGCATCTAGCACCCGCTCACTGAAATAGCAACAGGATATCTTAAACTGCCAGTTAGACCATACATACCCAACCCGCGGCGCTGCTTTAAGTGTCAGAGGTTCGGGCACGGCTCCCAGAGCTGCCGAGGACAGATTACCTGCGCGAAATGCGGCACCAAAGGTCATACCGCTGACGATGACTGTCAGCTACAAGTGCACTGCGCAAACTGTGAGGGTGACCACCCTGCATATTCCAGGTCATGCGTGGCCTGGAAAATGGAAAAGGAAATCATTAATACAAAGTTTGAATTGAACATAAGCTTCCGTGAAGCGCGGCAGCGCGTTTCCCCGCATTTTGCTGGGAACACATCGTATGCCGAAGTGGTGCGAGGGGGGTCAGCACCACTTCGGTATTGGCAATGCCTTGGACCACGCCCAGCGTGCCGAGGCAAAGGCGACAAGCCCCACCGAAGGCCCCTGTGAACCTTGGCAGCAGCCAGGGCACCACACAAACTAAAGAGGTCCCCTCGACCTCCAGCCCGGTGGGGTTTAAGGCTCCGTCTGTCACGACGAAGCCTACAACTAAAACAACATTGTCTGTCGTCTCTCCTGAGGCGATGGACACATCAACTGCACCGGCGCAGACTGCGCCAAAGGAGCGGCGGGGTTCTCTCGACCGCTCTAAATAAGACAAAACGATAATTACAGGGCCTTCTAAAGGCTCTGTAAGATAAGTCACTTCTCTCTTTAGACACCAGCCACACTCATTTCATACACACAGACAGCACTTCTTTACTCCCATAATGGAGACACAAATTATACAATGGAACGTCAGAGGACTACTTCGAAACCTCGACGATGTCCAAGAACTTCTACACAAACATTCTCCAAAAGTGCTGTGTGTACAGGAAACACACTTAAAATCCAAGAATACAAATTTTTTGCGTCAATATGTTGTCTTCCGAAAAGACAGAGATGATGCTGTGGCGTCATCTGGTGGTGTAGCCATTATAGTTAATCGAGGAGTAGCATGCAGTCATCTACCACTACTAACATCTCTAGAGGCAGTGGCTGTTCGAGCAGTTCTATTGAATAAGCTCGTCACCATCTGCTCTCTATACATACCGCCGCAACACCGCCTGGAAAAACATGATTTCCAGTCTTTAATAGATGAGTTACCAGAACCTTATTTTGTTCTAGGGGACCTGAATGCGCACAGCGGTTTATGAGGTGACTGTCGATGTGATGCACGAGGTCGTCTCATTGAACAGTTCCTCTTTTCATCAGGTGCTTGTCTGTTGAATAGAAAAGAGGCAACATATTATAACCTTGCAAACAATACTTACTCCTCCATAGATCTCAGTATCGCATCTCCTTCACTTGTACCATTACTTCAGTGGAAAGTCATAAATAATCCATACGGAAGTGACCATTTTCCTTTAGTTTTGAGTACACCAATAACATATGAATGTCCTCCACATGTTCCCAAATGGCTGGTGAACAAAGCCGACTGGGAACAATTTCCAAAGATTACACACCTAAATTGGACCGACATATGCGGATTAGGCATAGATGAAGCTGTGCAGTACTTCACGGCTTTTCTTACTGACGCAGCAGCCAAGTGCATTCCACAAACATCTGGACTGCCCGGCAAACGACACGTCCCGTGGTGGAACACTGAGTGTCAGAATGCGCGAAAGGAACATAACAGGGCATGGAGGTTGCTGCGCAACTCGCCGACAGCGGAAAACCTTGAGAGCTTTAAGAAAATAAAATCTCGAGGCAGGAGAACGCGTCGGCAGGCCAGAAGAGAAAGCTGGCACAAGTTTTTATCAGGGATAAATTCATATACACAAGAGGCTGAAGTCTGGGACATGGTTCGAAGGGTAGCAGGAGGACAAGTACACTCACTCCCACTCGTAAACACACAGAATGACAGCCTGGAAGATCAGGCGAACTTCCTCGGTGCACACTACGAGCAAGTGTCTAGCTCGGCACACTATACTGAAGTTTTCCAAAGATATAAAGCAAGGATAGAAAAACAGAAACTAGAATATAAGTGCACAAAACACGAGGCATACAACCAACCTTTCAACTTAGCTGAGCTACAAACATCACTAAACTCTAGCAGTAATTCTGCACCAGGCTATGACCGTGTCACGTATGAAATGTTGAAAAATCTGCCGCCTAAAACACGAAAAACTTTACTCTCTCTATACAATGCTATCTGGCTTTCTGGCACCATCCCTGCTTTCTGGAAAGAGGCTATTGTTATCCCTATTTTGAAACAGGGCAAGGACCCTTCCTCAGTTTCAAGTTACTATAGGCCCATTGCACTAACCAGCTGCCTTTGTAAACTTTTTGAAAAAATGATAAACCGCCGACTTTTACATTTCCTTGAAACACACAATCTGCTCGACCAGTTCCAGTGTGGTTTTCGAGAGGGTAGATCCACCACCGACCATTTGGTGCGTATCGAGGCACAGATCCGAGACGCTTTTGTCCACAAACAATACTTCCTCTCAGTGTTTCTCGATATCGAGAAGGCTTACGACACAACATGGCGTTTTAGGATATTAAGAGACTTGTCTCACCTGGGTGGGCGCGGTAGAATGCTTTCCATAATCGAGAGTTACTAGTCCAATCGGAAATTCCGCGTCCGTGTGGGCAGTACTCTCTCCCAAACATTTGTGCAAGAAACGGGAGTACCGCAAGGTGGTGTACTTAGTTGTACACTTTTTATTATTAAAATGAATTCCTTGCACCTGTCCATCCCCCGCAACATGCTCTATTCCACATATGTCGATGACGTCCAGCTTGGCTTTAAGTCATGCAACCTAGCAATGTGTGAGCGGCAGGTTCAGTTAGGTTTAAACAAGCTCTCCAAATGGGCAGAGGAAAACGGATTCCGGCTGAACCCAGAAAAAAGCACGTGTGTCTTGTTCTCTCGAAAGAGAGGCGTGCACTCGGAACCTGACATTGAACTGAACGGTCAACGTGTGTCTGTCAATGTGGAGCATAAATTCTTAGGCTTAATCTTGGCCAACAAGTTGACATTCGTACCACACATCAAGTATTTAAAAACAAAATGTTTAAAAGCCATGAGTGTTATAAAAGTGTTGTCACGTACTACGTGGGGTAGTGACAGGCAATGCCTGATGAACCTGTATAGAAGCCTCATTCGCACCCGCTTAGATTATGGGGCCGTTGTCTATCAGTCTGCTACTCAAAGTGCCTTGAAGATGCTGGACCCCGTGCACCATTTGGGCATCCGCCTTTCTACGGGTGCTTTTCGCACCAGCCTCGTAGAAAGCCTTTATGTTGAGTCAAATGAGTGGTCGCTTCATCTGCAGAGAACTTACATGTCCCTCGTTTATTTACTTAAGGTAAAAGCAGACAAGAAGCACCCCTCATACTGTACTATTAATGATTTGTCGAGCTCAATTCTGTTTCAAAACAGGCCTTCGATGAGGCAGCCCTTCTCAGTTCGCCTGAAGAGTCTAGCTGAGGAAACTGGAGTCTCACTTGAACACAGTTTAATGGCTCCTGTAGCATACCCGCCACCGTGGCAATGGCAGACTATAGACTGCGATGTGTCTTTTCTAGAAGTTACAGAACATGCGCCTATTGCCCATATCCGAACATATTTCCTGGAACTTCAACACAAATACACACGTCGTGAGTTCTTTACAGACGCCTCTAAGACCAACTCCTCTGTGTCCTACGCTGCTGTTGGCCCTTCCTTTTCGGATGCTGGCCCTCTACATCCAGGCACAAGTATCTTCACAGCGGAAGCTTACGCGATACTTGTGGCAGCTAAACACATCAAACAATTACAAATACAAAAAGCAGTAATTTATACAGACTCCCTCAGTGTGGTAATGGCTCTGCACAGTCTTAAAAAACAAAAAAACCCTGTCCTTGTCTCACTTTACTCCATTTTTTGCACACTCTACACACTCAACCAACATGTTGTAGTGTGCTGGGTGCCAGGGCACCGTGAGATCCAAGGCAACGTGAGGGCGGATCAGCTCGCTGCATCCGTCCACAAAAACAGTGCCCCTACACCCATATCAATCCCGGTCCTTGATCTGAAGCCGTCTCTCAAACAAAACCTCAGGTACTACTGGCAGAGCAAGTGGGATAAACACACACAAAACAAACTACACGTTATCAAGCCACACCTTGGCCATTGGCCACCAGTAACAAAATCTCGTCTAACAGAGGTAACACTAACAAGACTCAAGATAGGACACACATACGGGACACACACTTATCTTTTGTCCGGTGCCGATCCACCATTGTGTGACAAATGTGGTGAAACATTAACGGTCCTTCACATACTAATCCAGTGCAAACACTTAGAAACTCAAAGAAAACAATATTTTCCATTACCCTACCGACAACATATACCTTTACACCCTACAATGTTCGTTGGTAGGGAACCGCTTTTTAGTCATAAGTCATTGTTAGCGTTTTTAAAAGAACTTCATAATTTTCATATCATATACCCGGGCATCCCGTAGCATGACCTCTCCAGGGAGGTTTTTGCTGTGGTGGCTACACAGGAAAGCACTTGCCTCACGGCCCTTGGACGCAAGGGTATGATCCAGTGAGGTACTTGTGCTAATGCCATACATGTCCACCATCGTTTTACATTATCACCAACTTTTGTCATCTATTCACACCACACATACATTTCACGGCATGGTCATGATTTTATTACTTGTATGTTTTTACCCGCCTTACCGCGAGGAATTTTATGGCCCTTATACAGCCGCTAATCACAATCATTGTCCACATTCTTTGTCCCATGAACTGGCGCTCTTTGGCCATCAAATGGCCCTTGCACCAAAAAAACACCATATATCATCGAAGAGTATAGAATTGCGTGCAGCTCGCTTTCGTTCATATTGAAGGGCAAAGATGCCATTCTCGCTGCGCTTGATAATGGTGCACGTGCGCAGAATAAGACGATGGCCGCGGCGGCCTTTCCGGACGTTGATAAAGCGGTCTTCGCGTGGTTTTGTGAACAGCGTGCCAACAGAGTGCCACTGTCGGGAAAAATTCTACAGCAGAAGGCACTGGACTTTGGACTTTGCCAGCTTCCTCGGACATGACCAGTTCCGAGCGAGCGTTGGCTGGTTGGGCCGCTTTAAAGCACGGCATGACATCGTGACCAAGGTGATTTCCAAAGAAGCCACAAGCGTTGACCCGGTAACAACTTCGTCGTGGCTGCTGACCAACAAAAAAGTACTGGGCCAGTACAAGCCCTGCGACATATACAATGCAGACAAGACGGGGCTATTCTTTCAGATGCTCTCGTTAAAGACCCTGGGACTTGGAAGGCCAGAAGTGCCACAAGGGCAAGCACAGCAAGCAAGGCGTTACCATTTTGTTGTGCTGCATTATGGACGGCACAGACAAACTAGTCATCGGCCGGAGCAAGAAGCCCCACTGCTTCAAAGGAAACCGCCGCTCGCAGCCCGTTCAGTACACCGCAAACAAAAAGGCGTGGGATATCTCGGACTCTTTTTTTTCCAGCTGGGTCAAGGCATTCGATGCCGGCACTCACAAGTCAGGCAGGTCGGTGGCACTTTTTTTAGACAACTGAAGCACCCACCACATCGACGAGATGGAGCTCACAAACGTGCGTTTGTTTTTTTTTGTTTTTTTTTCACCGAACTGCACTTCCGTTCTGCAGCCGCTCGACCAAGGCGTAATTCGGAGCGTCAAGTGCGCCTACAGGGAGAGGTTAATCCAGTGTCTGCTACCAAACCTCCGCCACAAGCGTCCCACCGACATCAACTTGTGCATGGTGAGATGGTGGCCACCGCATGGGTTGCAACATCCCCGTCACTGATTGAGAACTGCTTCAAGCACGCGGGCTTCACCACCACCATGCAAGCATCACGCACAGATTGCGCTTCGGCCTCACCAGACGAACATTTGGACAAGAGCGCACTTGACGGCGAGAGTGGTGGCAGTGCAGTGCCTCTATCCCTGACCAACGCCTGGGGGGAACTTCGAGCCATCGACATCGACATCCCAGATGAACTCACCATTGATGCGTTCGCTCGCGCTGATGACGACGTAGTAATGCTCGAGGAAGTGACCGACATGGCCATTATCAAAAGCGTGCGCAAAGCTGACAACACCAAGGACCAAGAAGAGACGCACGGGTTCTTTTGGATGCGCTGGACACCCTTCACTCCTTCTTCGGCGCACATGACGACGACGTAGCAATATACCACTTTTTTCCAGTGCGAAGAAAGAGCTTTGAAGTCGTTGTGTGGCAAGGGTTGGTAAAGTAAGTTGTCCGACTTCTGGCAATAAATTTTTGTTCTGCTGGCCGTATCACTGTTTTTATGTCTCATACTTATACTTGGGGCAACGAAATTCTCGCGAAAGCGAAATTTTTTGGTTTCCCCGGCGATTTCGTTATTGCAGGTTTCGACTGTATGTGTATTCTCAGTGCTATCGAGCTTGTACACGTTAAAGAACCCCAGGTGGTCTAAATTTTCGGAGCCCTCCATTACGGCGTCTCTCATAATCATATAGTGGTTTTGGGACGTTAAACCCCACATATCCATCTATCATATCGAGCTTGTAAGTGTGGACAAGTTGCAACAGCTTCAGTAACAACCGAGCGAGTCATTCTCAAATCGGCCAACGGCTGTTAAAAATGGCTGTGACGAGCAATTTTCGAGCTTGTAGTGTCATTTGTTCAGAGAACGCACAATTTTTAACTGACTGAGAATTTATTGAGAATTTCTGGCCTTGTGCTGCGCTCCAATGTTTGGATTGCGTATTCTCCGAATCCTCGACTGCCTGTTGGCAGCGTTTTGTGTGCTCAAAAAGTGTTGCCGGGCTCTTCCCTGCTGTATTCTAGTAGGTTTGTAGTTTTAGTAGAGGTGTGCGAATATTCGTATCTTGAGTTAAAATAGAGCGATGTCTAATCAAATCATTTGATTCGACTTTCAATAGGCAGTATTCGAAGTTTCGAATAATTCGACAGGACTAATTTCAAAAGCGCAAAAAAGGCCAATGGCGCGACTTGGTCAAGGCTGGTTGGCTAAGAGAAACACTAGCTTCCTCACAGGAGGCCTTTCATAATAACTTTCACCAGACACCATGGTTTTCAAAGGCAATTGTGTCATTTCAGCGCGTGTTTACTTCACCAAAGAAGACCAAGGAAGAGACTGTTAGACTGCCAAACTGCTAGCATCGAAAAATAACCAGGACATTCAGCACGGACTTCATCATCGAGAGGTTCAAACATATTTCAGTGATCCACTGATGCCCGGAAAAGACAATACTTTTAAATACTGGAAAATACGTGGAGCTGAACTTTATCCAGATATCGGCGAAATTGTTTTGCGATGCTCTCCAATCACTGCTACTGAGTATCCCAGTGTGTGCATAATTTTAACTGCTGGAAACTCCAATATCGTGGTGAGAGAATCTGAAGCCAGGTTAGGTGGAACTGCTCGAGTTTCTTGACGGCAGTTTGTAGTCCTTTTGTAGCAGTCGCACCATTATGTGCCTAATGACACAAGCATCCTTTATGTAATTCCTTGTTCTTCCGTTCTATTCTCAATACAATACTTTGTATTTAATTGGATGCGAGATATTTTTGGCCACCGTTTGGCGCTATTCGGTTCAAACTTGATTAGAGATAAAATTTCACCTATTTGCACACACTTAGCTTTCAGGTGTCCAGTGTATTTCTGCGTAAAAGTTTGTTGTCTAGTATCTCTGCATGTATTGTGTTGGTAGCCTTTGTTCATGGACATTTTTATGTGGTGCTCATTCTCGCAGGCTGCAGCACTATCACTTAAAGATTTCTAGGTATCCTGCCAACATTGCGAGGTACACAATGCTGAAGCATGCTAAGGACACGCCAAGTCCAGAAAGGTGATAACTTTTTTACATAGCTGTGTTCAAAAATTGGTGTTTCATGCATGAAAAGCTCCTTCGATGCCATGAGATGTTTTTACCAGCACATTGCATTTTGTTGACCAAGAAGCTGTTGTGGCGGTAATAACTTGGTAAGACGTTTACCGTTAAAACCGAAATATAGGTCATACCGCATAGGTCGATTCGCCAGGCATTGAATTTGCAAAAAAAATTAAAATTAAAAATATAGCACAGTCTTGCAGCGCCTTGGTAAATGCGGGACACAACCAGCTGCACTGTGGTGATAATTCTTTTATTTGGATTCTAATATTATGTAAAACGCCAGAAGACAAGAAAGTGCTGTCAAACCTTGCCAAATGGCGTTAATAGAACACTGTGGGTCTTGCCTAGCCTTTCCCAATGGCACTGCTGGTGATGCTTACGATGTCAATGGAGGCTTTCGACTTCAGCTGCCCATTTTTGCTAGACTTCCGGATTTTTTTTTTTTTTGCCAGTGACAGGTATATAAGAGGAAACTCGACTTCTCACAGAGGTTTTTTTTTTTTTGAAAATCCGACCTATATTTCGGTTTCTACGGTAAGTAAACATATATCTTCACTGAATGGAGGTCTACAAAAACTATTGAAAGCACCCTTGTTTTTGTGGATGCCAAGGTGACCTTGGAAAGCTCTCTATCTGTATCAACACAAACGCTAAAGCCATGCCCAAAGAGGACTTGTTAATCTTTTTTTTTTTTGCTCATTTACTGTACTCACAGCACACATAGATTGGCATAATTAAGGAAAGCCTAACTGTACTACCCTGGCGTTCGCAAACCTTAATGTGGTTGAATTTATCCTAGTGCATTTCAAGGCTAGAGAAGTATTTTGGTTCCAGATGGCTGGCGAATCATACATCAGAAAATGAGTGGCATAAAATAGACGTGGATAAAAAACGCAGCTAAATACAAGGGCTCTTTGATTTTCAGGCCTCTGGCAGCTTTCTGGCAGCCAGAGCTAGCCAGAGGGTCAGCCAGCCAGTTCCAGTCTGGACAGGAAACAGCATCGTGGTCACGTGACGGCTTAACAAGCACACGTCTCTTTAGTACATGTAACAGTCAATGCACAACACGACCCGTGTGATCGTGTCCCCAAAAGAGCTTGAGGATATATACCAGCTCAGCTATCGTGTATTATACGTCACAAACACACATTGACCAACTTAAGTTTTTGTCTAAAGTTTAGAAATGCACAGGTATCGGTACCACGAGTGTGCGTCGCATATAAAATAAACAGTTGCATGACAAGTTTTCAACCCATTTTAGAACTTGCCTTGGCCTGTTTTCTAGTCCTAAGTGGCACTTAACGCCCCACCGCTGTGGTCTAGTGGCTAAGGTACTCGGCTGCTCACCCGCAGGTCGCGGGATGGAATCCCGGCTGCGGCGGCTGCATTTCCGATGGAGGCGGAAATGTTGTAGGCCCGTGTGCTCAGATTTGGGTGCACGTTAAAGAACTCCAGGTGGTTGAAATTTCTGGAGTCCTCCACTACGGCTTCTCTCATAATCATATGGTGGTTTTGGGACATTAAACCCCACATATCAATCATTAAGTGGCACTTAACAAATGTCATGTATATCAGCTTTGATTGGACTTACTAGGTTATAGTACAGAGAGTGCGGCATTATTGCTAAGAGGTGAAAAAGACAAAGGCAACAATGAAATGGGCAACAAAAGGATGTATACATTTATGAATCCATTCTTCGTTTTTTTTTCTTGGGTCGTATCATATACTATCATACCACATATGCTGGCCTATAGATTGAAGTGGGTTCGCACGCCATTCCCGACCAGCGAGCATCACCGACAGTCGCAATCTAGTGCCTTCTATCACCATCGAAGATCGAGTAGTCAGGACAGAGGTTCTAAGAGCTTCACGTACACAAACATACGATGGAGCGAGCTAGTTCGATCACAATCGTCTTCACTAAGTGCACAGAAAGCAGGCACGGCTCCACAAACGACTACTACGAAAAAAAAAATTAACTCCAATGTTGTCTCCATGTGTGCGTACGCAGGTGTGTACATAACAATTGAGGTATGTGCACGACGTAGTCAGCAGGCAACAGTTCACCGGGTTGTCCACAGGAGTAAGATTCACGGGGAACATAGCAAAAGCGATTAACAGTAGCTTCAAACACTCGCCGCCACTCGTAATCGCCTCATCTCGCAAGGGGGGACAGGCTTTAAAAGATAACGCCACGACTAACGACAAGCGAAGGCGCAGTCCTCAAGTACCCACATTGCAATTCGAGTCCTCACAAAGATGGCGCCGAGCGCGCATCGTACCTTTTCGGCGTCTGCTAGCCCGAAACCTGCCCAAAACCTTCCAGAAAGCTTCCACGACTAAATTTTCCTGGGAGCGTCTGACTACCCTCGGACTCCCTGTGGGTCGCCAGAACTGTCCAACCCGAGAAAAACGAAAGCCAACTGGAAGTGCACCGAGAGGGGGACGCAGCAACCCGAGAAAAATGAGCGCGCTCTGGCTGGCTATGGCAGCCTGCGGGTAGCCAGAAGTGGAAAATCAAAGAGCCCCATAGTTGATCCTGGATATATCAAACTCGGATGTATCGTATTACTGGCTATATCGAACAGTTAAAAAATCGCCTTGAATTCCCCATGCAAAAATATGGGACCGGTGCACCCGTATATATAACTCCCGCACAGTGGGACATCCGCTATATCTAACGGTACATCACGTTGAAGCCCAGAAAGTGCACATTTTTCTCGCAATAATTGATCAATTTTCGGCCGCCTTGAAGAAGTTCCAGTCTATTTTCGCGCGCATGCAACGAAAATACGGTGTTATTCTATCGTGTTGATCTGGTTCATTGCGCCGCACTTTCGAGTACACCTGTACGTTAGATGAGCGATCTGAAGGTCGTAGTGCACGGGCATAGTGTTTTCCAAAAGACTAATTGCCGAGGGCACCGAAATGAGAATGCGAAGTGGCTCGGCGATCTCATTGCAGTTTTCGCATTCCCTTCCTTCTTTGTTGGCGCACAATGACATGCGAGCCCAAAAAGCATGGCCTTCGAGATGTGCAACCAAGTGACGACCTTAAAACGCATGTCTCAGCGTATATATACGCTTTTTTATCTTTTTGCATCAAAGCCGCTGAAAGCAGCGCCTTCCAGCTGCCCCGCTACAAAGCCACAAATGACATCGATATCGCCACAACATGTCGAAAGCGGGCACTCGGACGAACTTGACATTGCCTTTTGAGCCTTATGGTCTTGTGTGCTTCTTAACTTGTACTTGATAAATTCTCAGTCGGGAGTTGAACTGAACGTTTATCCGCACGTAGTGATAAAAATTGACTGGCGCTTGGAGCGATGTCAAGTAAAACAGTCATGAATGTTCCTTGCGGGCCACGTGATATCGGGCGCGTCATGACCGCCGACAACGGCGTACGGTGCCTCGGTGAATTCTGCGACTTGTCAGCCTTTCCGGACACCATCTCGGACAGTGAGCAACTTCATTGGTACAGATGACGACATAGCAGTTTCTGACTGCATCAATGCTGAAATTTTGGCTGCCCTTGCCCGTGTCGCGGAAGTGTAGCCGTGCGGTTACGAATGTGCCAACGCCTTCGCTGCCGCAACTAACCAACCTTTTGCTGCGCTTGAAAGCTTGCATCGGCATTCTGTGTCAATCAACGTTGTCGCCGAAGGATCTAAATTCGCTTATTTGAAAAGCTTAAGTGATAATGAGGACGACTGGAACTTGACGGCGTGCAAGAAGCAAGGCAAGTTTACGGACTATTTTCATGCAAAACAAAGTGCGGTAACTTGCAGTTCGCACCTTGTTTTTCATTATACTGTAAGCGAATCGTTATGTTAGCTCTCATAAGTTTCAGAGGCGTGAAATGCTTCAATTTAGGACTTGAGTGCGCATATTTTGTATTTTGAATTCTCGATGCATCGAACTATTTCACGATCTCCTTAGACTTAGATACATCCAGAATCGAGTGTGGTTACGCACGAGTATCCTTGTAGTGTTGCATTTGGTGCCCATCTGGTTGCACAGTCAAACCCAGCAATACAAAATTTAAGAGAATTGCAGTTTACCAACTCCTTTGTTCAAGACTGACAAGTGTGTATTGCTTTACTTAAGTTTTGATCCATGCGTTGTTTTGAAATGCACGTGGTCATACTCGGAGACCTTTTCGTGCACTTGAAGCAGCATGGCAGCTGTCTTTTTTTTTTCTTCCACAAGTACAGTACTCGTGAATAAAACACTGTATCATTTATTTTTGGTGATAGTTGCCATGAGTGATCGCTCATGTTGACCGTGTCATGTCTCTGCAGATCTGGTCTTTAATGGTAATGTTGCCTGTAATCTAATTTTTGATCTCAAATCACTTTAATATGACTCTGGAAACTAAAATAGATGCATTACATTGCCCTAAATTCTCGCACTTCAATTTGCAAGTATTGTAGATAGTTTTGCTGGGACCATTTGCACAGGTGGAATTATGTCAGTTTGAATCAAAATACTCTTGATTATCTAGATTACACTGTACTAGTATACAGAACGTTCTGTCTGCATATACGTGAACTGTCATCATGCTTCCCTCATGAGCTCGAGGTTATAGATCTTTTCATATGTTTTTGGGTGTGCCGTTGTGACGGCTATTGAAACTAATGATATTCATTGTGTAACTTCATTTCACCAAATCGCCCTCGTATCTTCATACCAGTGGATCCTTGTAGCGATACTATGTGTTCAGGGAAAAAAATTGCCTTGTGGCTAATCACGTGTGAGTGTGCTTTGACATCAATTGCCTCCTCTGTCTTTCAGGTACAAGCTTCTATACAAAGGGAAGCTACGCTACAGGAAGGACGGCATCAACAGTGTAAATTACGAGCGTGTGGACATTGTGTTCAAGAAACTCTACACATGGATTCTAGCGGACCTGAAAGGCAAATGACCTCTCCAGTGCTCAGTCCTTTTGTTTCAGCAAAGTGTACCCACACACATCCTTCCACGTTTGCTACGTGGAGATCGCCACTGCTTTTCAAGTCGTGCGCCTTGTGAGTCCACCGCAGTCGCAGATCTCGTGCGCCGCCCACGTGAAACTCCATTGCCAGTTTCCCGACCAGCGCCCAAAAATGCAGGAGCACGTGCGCTAAGCGGTGCCAGCGAGAGTGCTACACGTTGAGTCTTTGTACACAAAACATGGACGCGCACCAACGGTGTTGCAAGCGTGACTCGTGCTTTCTTTTTTTCCCTTGCCTTCTTCAGTGTCACATACGAGTGCTGTGTACGAGACTCTTGTGGCCCATATGCAAACACACACATAGGACTGTTTTTTTCACAATCCACGCTACAGTCTCCATCCATGCAACATTCTATCATTTGTTTCGTTGTTTCTGTGAGCCATGTCAATCTGCGAGGGGAAAAAACTCCTGCGCAGCGTTCAGGTGATGCAGTGCGCACATTCGAGTCATGCACGTTTTCATTTTTAGTGTTTCTTAGACAAGCGCATGGAGTTTTATTACGATTGTTGTACGTTCGAATTCTCCGCGCCTGCCGATCCATCGTTTCCGCAATGTCCCACGCGTTCGCTTCCTTTCGTATGATTAGACTTCACCTGTCTCACACTGAGCGGCAGTTATCGTCCCACTGCTCCTGCTTCGTACGTCGAGTCCTGTGGTGTGTCCCCCTGTGCCACGTGTTAGTGAAAAAACTGTTCTTTGCTCCGCGTTTCATCGAGTTCGCATGCACCTCCCGTTTCTGGGTTGTAGCATATTATTTAGTATTTTATGTGGAAACTTTTTAAAGCCAGATAGATATATTGTGTACATCCTCCTGTTTGTTTTTCATTTTTTTAATGCAGTGTAATATCTTTGCATTAGTGCGTCAAACTGGTAAAGGAACGCTGCTCGCGTTCAAGCGTCACCCATTCAGCGTTTGACAGGTGGAGCTGGCGTCTGGCATCCGACTGTCGGAATGAAGGACATGGTAGGTTCGCGATGTGATTTTTTTGTTCCATGCTGCCCTCAATGCAATGAGAGGTGCGTGCGTCCGTGATCGAAGTGCTAGTGCCAGTATTGTTTTTCGAGATATTTTGTTTGTTTCTGTCTTTATTTTATAGATATGCAAGAATTACACACCGCACCATGCAGATTATATTTCGTGTTCGTTGTGCCCCTGGCTCCTGGCTACTTTAACAAAGTGCAGCGGAACAAGATTTTTATACGTAACCGCCATGTTATTCCTGCTTGTTGAAGATCTGTTTTTGGTTGTTTTTTTGTGTAGTGCGTGCCACATTTCCGAGAACCGTTATGTAAAGGTTTGCCTTTTTGCAGTTTCTGCATGTTCAGTAAGGATGTTGACGTGCACAAGCTTTCCTTCCGTCGAGTGCCGCCTAACCTTGTTCTGTGACGTTCCGAGCGACACTGTTTTAGATGTTCTCTATGTTGTCAACTGCAGAAGAAATTCAGGCGGAAGTGTTTTAGCTTTTTCGTTTTACGTGGGTGCCATCGACAGGCATTTCCCCTCTGCCCGTTTCTGATACCTTTTATACACTTCCAGAATATGACAGGCAAGGGTTTCTAATTGCTGCTGCATATTTATTGCGTTGTTTCGAATGAACAAAATGATTCGCATGATAATAAAGCCTGTTTAATTTTTTGCTTTACTGTCTTTCGCATTATTGTTAAAGAAAAAAAAAGTGAACCCCTACTGGCTTTCTATTTTAAGCATGGCACTGTGGAAATAGGAAGTCTAGAGACCCACTTAAATGGTGCCAAAAGGGAAAATAGCGATTTAAATCGATACCTTTCATATATTAGTTTCTGAACAGCGAGCAGCAGTTTTCACTGCTTATATAAAATTAACCTGTCACCCTTGCATATATACAACTGCAAGGACTCGCCGTGGTGGTCTTGTGGCTGCGCTGACTCGAAGTTTGCAGGATTGAATTCTGGCAAAGGTGCTCGCATTTCTATGGAAGCAAAACGTTAGGCGCCCACGTACTGTGCACTCTCGGTGCACGTTCACTCTTCAATTGGGAAGATTCTAATCAATGACTTATTTTTTTTAGTTCTCAGTCAGTTTTTACTCATCCAAATGCGCATCAAGCCAGGTTTCTCAAACAGTGACGAATAAGCAAAATGTGGGGCATCAACACTATTTTAAGTCTGTCAAAATAGGGAGCAGGAATCCGGTCACCTGACACTGTTGATCCGGTGCCAATTTTGGTGAAAACTGCTCAAAACAGGGCTTTTCTCTTTTAAGTGTGAATACACTTTATAAGCGACCCCAAACCATCCACCGCCGTCGGCGGCGTCCGCAGTCTTCTCTCCATCTTTAAAAAACAGAGGACTTGGCGGGCCGCAGCGCGACGCTCTACCGAATAAGCCACGGACGCGACGCTGATATCGGTGTCAGTAACGCGCCTTATACCCCCTCCCCCTTCGCTCGCTCCTTCGCTCTCCTCGCTCGCTGCAGCTGCGCGCGCACCCCTCTCTCTCGCGCGTCCGCCTTCTCTCTGTCTCCCATCGAGAGCGGGTCGTGAGGGGGAGTAAAGTTAAAATCCGTTGGCATTCGCCAGTGAGTTAACGTAAACTCCCCCGTGTGATCAAATTGCGATTCCCAGGAACCATTACACCATAAAGGCACCATAGTGTGATTAATAAATATAATAGTGCGAATTAATAAATACCCCTCATAGCATCACCCCGTGTATTCGCACTTAACCATGTTCACCGTCGGGGGAAATGCTTGGGAGTTTTTTAAGCATGCTCTTGTGTAGCTCGTGTGACTATGCTCATCATCGAATTATGAACGGGAGTAAGTGTGTGGGGAAAGCGCCACTTGCAGAGCCGCATGCAATTTTTTCAGAAGCTTGTATATTTGCGATAGCTTCCTTCTCCAACACTCTTGTTTTACTTTTTTTTTTATGCCTCGCTGCTTTAGAAACATCCACATCACATGCTTCATTAGTCACGGGAACAAGTGCTTGAGAGCTTTTTGTGGCTTTCTTTGAAGGACTGCGGGCATACGCTTCAGCAGAGAGTGGTCGGTATCGGTTACCAGAACCAACTCCATGAATCGGAACATCTGATGTCTTGGCTTACTCGTTCGTACTATTCGGCGCTCTAAGATTCTGAACTAGCCTTCATCAGAATGTCATCGCTGGAGTGAAGTACCAGCGTGATGCCTTTCATTGCCCCATCTGCTTCTAGAGTAGCGCTGCGTTCACTCCTACAAACAAGCAAATTAAAAACCTACATCGCTGTCAAAGTGCACTTGCCGTCCTCTTTGTTGTGCATATTGAAGATTTGATGAATACAATGCTACAAAATTTATAGAGTATAGGGAGACTAGCGCAACTGGGATACAACAACAAGCACGGCATGTCATCAAGTGGCTGGTCAATTTTGTTGACCATCGTTGCACACAACTCTCTCAACATCTGTTGGAAACCTCTAAGAAATCTTGTTGTTGTATGCTAAGGCACCTTTTACACCAAGACAAAAATAACTTTCCCACATGCTATAAACTGCTTTCTTGGGCAATGGAAATGACTGCAGCATGCGCAAAAGGACGGATGAAAAGCTAACATGTAGTCGGTTCATTTAGTGAACTAAGTTGGTGAGCTGGAGTCTAAACCTAAATTCAGCAGGGCACAGCTAAAGCTCAGATCTATGCTGTTTGCCAAGCCCCTTTCTGCAATACTGTTTGGCTTGCCAGATGGTAAAAGTTTTCGGAGCTAATTGTTGTTGTTCGAAACCATCATATGATTGAGGGCTCTGGAAATTTCGACCACTTGGGATTCCCTAATGTGCACGTATATCTACGCACACAGGCCTCAAGCATTTTCGCCTCCATGAAATATGTGGCTGCCACAGCGGGGATTCGATGCCGGAAATTGTGAATCGGCAGTAGGGTGCCTTAGCCACTACACCCCCCAGGGCGGGCTAAAATTTCTGGCGCTGCCTAGAACAGCATCGCTTATGATACCGTGCTTTTTTGGGATGTGAAACTTCAATAGTTACAGTCGCCGACCGATTTTCCGGACTCCAAAAATTCGGACTTGTTGGATATTCCGGACTTCATAAATGCACCGTCAAGGATTCCATAGAGCTAATGCATTGTTTCGACCGATTTTTCGGGCGAATTTGCCCCTGAAAGTTCGATTTTTCGGACTAAATCGCTCGTTTTGTGCCACGCTCCAAGCCATTGTGAACGCCGCCATGTTGGATTTTCTGTCGGCTTGGCCAAGCTTGGTCTTCAGATGCCTTTCCTGCCTCCGAGATTGGAATGCGCACGCCATGTTTTAAGTTTCGGAGGCCGTGTTTGCTTTTTAAAAGACGCGGTAATGGACGCCGTTTTTTCGTCTTCGGTCAGCACTATCGTCATCACATCGCACGGGGAGGAGGCGAAAGAAGGATTCTTTTATTGTCGTTGCAGCTTTTTTCAGTCGCCATTCTGCACGTGTTGTGTCGCGTAGCGTCGAGACGTTGTGTGCTTCGCAGCGGCTATCTGCGGCATCGAATTTTGTGTTCTCGGTGCCATGGCTCCGCTATCTGTGCCGTCGCGGGAGCCAGGTGGTGTGAAGAAGCGTGGGAAGTATACGACCCTGACGATGGAGAAGAAAGCTGCCATAATCAAGCTAATAGAGAGTGGACGTTCGCAGCTAGATGTCGCTGGATGACGGTCGACGCCGGATGGCGGCCGTCGTTGTCGTCGGATGAGAACGACGACCGCCCGCAGCCGTCGGCGGCGGAGATCGCCAACGCGGTGACAATTTTGTCGAGCGTTTACGGCGACGATGTCACCTTGGCGCAAATACGGGCAAACCAAATTGCCTCCAAGCGTAGTTTGAGGCAAGGCAGCATCAAGGACTTTTTTAAACCTGCCTGATGCAATAAACTTCAGATTTTTGGCGAAAACGAATTTTTCGGACTGTTCGATTTTTCGTACTTTTTTTTCGGTCCCCGCCAGGTCCGAAAAATCGGTCGGCGAGTGTATAAGTATTGGCAAGCTTATGTGATTAAGTGTGCACATTATGAAGCAGTGCTTGATGTAACACATTGAGCATAACATTGCTGGCAAGTTGAATACTCTGGCCCTTATCGTAAACAGTACAGAGTGATTTAGCCATGGAGGGTCTAATGTGTTGCTGTGTGTTATGATGCCTGCTAAAACATTATCTTTTTGTTTTGCTCTTATCTGATGTTCAACTGAGCACAGCTGATGAAGGTATACTAGATGATGCACTTGAAAAATCGAGGGGCTCTTAAGCTTCGCCCTGAAAAGTTCAATGCCATAGAGTTATCCTGTACCTAATGCATACTTCAACCACTTAGTGCATACTTTTTATAGTATAATGTTAAAATGTTTACATTGTGGATTACTATAGTTTAATCGATTAAGCTGAAAGTAGATTTTTCGCATATGCAGCCATATGAGAAAAAGCCACAGAATATTCTGTGTAATGGGTAACATGCTTTGAACCAGGAGCAATTATGCACATAAAATGTTCTCAAACTTGCTATGCCCCACTACGTGGTCCTAAATGAAATAAGCGCAACAGTGTGTGTGCCTTCTGTAATAAGTGGCCTGCCTTAAACCTTGAAGTCATTATGATAGTCCCATGTTCTGGTGCCTGCTGGCAATATATGCTTATACCATGCATTATTGTGGTGATATCACATTTTCTATTGTGAACCACACATACAGGCACGTGCGTAAAGCGCAAGTTACTTTCACTGCATTCCTAAGCAGAGGAAATTCTTTTCGCTGCATTTCCAAGCGGACTCTTGGCTATGTGATAGGACAGCTGCTTGCCACGCAAATGACCCAGGTTCGATCTTTATTCGAACCTGTAATCTTTTATCAACTATTTTATTTGAGTCTCGATTTTTTAGGTCATACTACAAGAAAAAAAGAGGGAATCAGGACATTACCCTCAGCAGAATTCTGTCTCGCGGGGTGCAGCAGTGTATCGCTGCATGATGGTGAAGTGGATAAAAAAACCCGTGATAGGGGCACCTGTTTTTTATGTGTGTGAAATTTTACAAAGCGTTCTGCTTCAAGCGACGCCTTTCTGAGTGAGAAACAGCACCCAAGACGGGACGAAAGGATAGACAAGGCACACAGACACAGCGCCCAGTCAATTTTGTACCGAAAGAGGCGGAAATTGTCGTCGTGTTTAAGAAAAACAAAAATGGCCCTTGCGGTTACGGAACACTTCGGCGTCTTTCCCACCGAAGCTATTAATATGCACATGTGTGTAGTCGACACAGCCTGTAACACCAGGGAACTCGGCCACTTCATAAAAGTCCCGCATAACTGTAGAAAGTGCTGCCGGCTGCGGAAAGCGCACCAGCATTGCGTACAGGTACTTTGCGATGAGTAGCATAACTTTTCCTACTGCACGGCAAACTGTCGACTACGGAATGCGGATGAGATTCCCGGTGACTGTTTGGAATGTGCCAGCGCCGTAAAACCCGAGAGCCATCAGTAGCTGTAACACTGGAGGTACAGGCTGTCCTCGGTTGTCCCCACTTTCACGGAGCAGCAACATACCCAGCAGCTGCCGCACGGCGTTCTTCATGAATCTGTATCGAGCATGGAATTGTACCTCGTCGTACAACTCCATCGCATTTCCTTGGTCACGTAAAGCGGGTCCAAGAATCTTCGGCAGGCAGTGTGCCTCAGAAAATGCTACGCTTATGGCGAGGCAAGCAAACTCAAAAGCCGCCACCCTCCGCGCGACAACCATTCGAGAGGTGGCCATGTTGGAATAACTCATGAAGTCGCTTTTAAGCTAGCCCCGCAACTGACTTGAAACCTGTCTTGACTTCGACAGAGCCAAGTCGGCTTCAAGTCGTCCGCAAGTTCGAGAACGATTTATGGTGACCGGCAAGACTGTCTTGAGTCAAGAACTCGTCAAGTACGAGTCAAGTAACGTCTCTGCATTCGGGGGTAATACCTTCATATAACCTACCCGAATATAACAAATTTTCGCATATAACAAACTTATTTTGCTGCAAGATGCAACTTTGCCATAATGTGGTTTGAGGGCACATTAATACCAGCATGTGTATTTTAATGCATTTGACCATGGTGTTCTATTCTTCAATTGTGTGTTTTTATGCTAAACTCTAGCAATGAAGGTACTGACAGTTCAAATAAAATTGTGGAATCTTTCACAACTACAAGCTGGGTGACGGACAACATATGGAGGGGGGATGTACGACAAGGCAGCGACTTGTGCCAACAGGCAAGTCAAAAAATAAAGCCTTTTCTTGCTTTTTCATTTTTGTTGGCCTGATGCCTTGTCTACTTCAAATGTATCTATTACAAAAAAAAAGTACAAACTCACAGCCCAGTTCTCTGCCCCTATGGCAAAAAGTCCTTATTTTTCTCCACTATGTATTTTTGTCCTTTCCGGTTGAGGCTAAAATGCTGTAGGCCCATGTGCTCAGATTTGGGTGGGCGCTAAAGAGCCCCTTGTGATCAAAGTTTTCGGAGCCGTCCACTACGGAGTCCCTCGTAACCATATGGTGGTTTTGGGACGCTAAACGCCCACATATCAAGCAATCATTTTCGTCTTTTCTCTCAAACATACGCCTGTTACATAGGTGTATGTTTATACTATTTTACCGGGATAGCGTTAAAGAGTTCGTTAAGCAGAAGTTCTAATATCAACGTCGTTGGTTGTGAGCAAAAAGTTATCTTATGCATGACTGAAAAATCGAGAATGATTCAAATAAAATAAAATGTTAAAAAAAGATCCTGGAGCAGAAAGGGGACCAAAGCAGGGTTGTTGGGGGTCCGAGTGGGTATCGAACATGGGTCATTGTTGCAGCAAGCAGATGTTCTACCACACTACCATGCCTCTCCTTGTGAAAACAGTGAAAAAAAAAAAAAAAAAAACTCCCTTTGCTTGGAAATGCAGTAAGAGTAGCTTTTATGCTTCTTGTATACATGCTTCACAATCCAACATGAAGTATTGCCTTAATAATGCGTAGCCAGGTGTCCTTGCCAACGGGCGTCAGAACGTGAATTTATTATAATGGCTCTGTGGTATTGGGACCCTAAAGGTGAAGCTTTAGGGTCCCCTAATTTTTTCCATTTTCCTTTGGTAGAGTGGCATGTGAAGAAAAGGGCACACAGCCTTCACAATTAAATTTCGACCATTTTCACACCATGCATGTGAATTAGCAGACAACATTGCTTTCGTGCAATCTGCATGCCCTGCTAGTTGGAAAAGCCCTACCTGATGAGGGGCTCTTTACACTGGGCATTTTCATCTCGCCCATGCAGAAGTGTGGCCACAGCAGCAGACAGTCGAATACAGGACTTCATGTTAGACTGCAGTAGGCTGTAAGCACTGCAGCAGGACGAAGCAACAGTCATGCAGCGTAGAGTGGGATACCTTTAATGCCATTTAAATAGAAATCACCACACGAATAACAAGTAGAGTTCACCATTTTGTTGGAAGTGCGGAGAGTTCGCATGAAAGCCCTTAATCTGCACGTCTTTTGCAGCTAAAGCATGAAAAGATGGGATGAAACAAAACGGCACACCAGGAAAAAAAAATGACATGGATGTTTTAGTCTTCCACAGAGAAAAAAAGGTTTCTCCTTTTGAAAAAGTGCAAACACAAATGACTACGCCGAGGATGGATTAAAAATGTTTCACGATGCTCTTTGAAATGCCAATATGTAACCTTAGTTGCTTGAGGCACAAATAAAATATGCCTTCCAAATAGAGTAATATGAATCTGCAATAGCACGTTTATTTTATTTGGTACAAGACTGCTTCGATGCACTATTTCATGCATATAATTGACCTACTTTAGGTAATGAGTCAAGATTTGTTTAAGAAGTAACAAGTACAGTATACTCATGATAAATCGAACTCTGATAATTCAAACTTTTGGTTAATTCAAACAAAATTCAATTTTTTGGTTGACCCTCTATTCTTTCAATGTATTTAAAAGCCTCTTAAATCAAACTTCATAATTTATTAATAATTTTTGCAGGTCCATACCAGAAATTATCAGTTGCTTTCCCACTACCTTTTAAAATTTGTGTGCTTATATAATCCTACCAGTCTAAAAATGAAAAACACATGAGGCCTTCAAGGAAAAAGGCTTTGCAAGTAAACAAATGAAGCACACGTTTGGTAAACGGTGATGCTTCTCAAGTCGTATAGAGAGCTTTGTGATGGAGGCACATATCTATAGCAAAGAAGCAGTTGGCAATTCACGGTTTCTTTAAAAGGTCTCGTCAGCAGTAAATGGCCAATAAACTAGTGAAATTCACACCTCTGCTTCATGTTCACTCTGTGCAATGAAGGCTTAATAACAGTTTAATTTTTAAACCTAATAATACCAATGCCTAAGCGTAACGTGTGGTGTCACCTATCAGAAAACTTTTGGTCAATCAAACTTTTTGATAATTCAAACAAAATTCAGAGGTGTCCCTTCAAGTTTCAATTAACGAGAGTTGACTGTATGCACTAAAAAATTTTATGAATCTTTCCACTGTCCATTGTTGCAAAAGCTTAAGACAATAATGTTTCGCATTTATGCAATTGGCTTCAGCTAGGGCCAGCAAACATTTAATATATAGCATTAGAAGAGAGTGCTATGACACAGTCCAAAACACATGATTTCCTCAAAAAAAAAAAAAAAAATTTCCACTTGTCTTTTAGATAAACTATAAAAAGCAGACCATGAAAAAAACGCCAAGTCTGCGTGGAAGGCACAGCACAGTCGCAGGGAAAGCTAGCAGAGCGGCCTTTCAGAGCCTTTCATGAATACTCTTTGGGTAACCTCTGCAAGCACACTTGCTTGATTCCCACTAGGGCAGTAGGCCAGCATTCGCTATGCTATTTTTCGTCATTCTTCTGTCCGCTAAACACTTGCAAGGAATTGTGTGCCTTAGTTGTTGTCCATGCAATGGCTGACGACGATGAGGAATGATGGCTGAAGTGAGTATGCGCCACAGTTAATAGGGGAACAAGAACAAGCTTTTGTAATGGGTTGGAGCATTGGACGACCTACTCGTTACGCTATTCGCATTGTGCGATGACTGGTTGTTCTAGTGCTGTTTTAAAACGCTATTAAGTCGCATTATCGCGATTGCTTTCCCGACATCAAGCCTGCCTAAGGCAAGTTTGCCAACAAGTCCCAAGCACCAGCGTGGCTCAGTGGTAGGATACTATTGGGCTGGCACCCAACATCCCCAGGTTTCGAGCCCCGCTGTGTCATCGGTACTAGCTTTTTTTTCTAATTTTGCGTGATGTGGTTACGCACACCGGCAGACAACTACGGCGCTACGAAACCCTAGTTGTGATCTCGTAACAGATCTCACTGTAATACTAGCTCCCAAAATTCAACCTGCAAGTGTGTGCAGCGCATGAAACATGCCACAGAAAAGCAAGTGCTCTTTAGTAACACAACTGCAGAATAAAAGAATGTTATGCAAAAGTGACATATGAAAATTGGGCAGCTGTACTGCAAATCGTACACAAGCAACTGCAGAATAAAACTACACAACAACAATAAAGCGGTTGAATCTTAATTTATTGCCGACATTTATACTAGTTATGTGCTCGCAGAATCTTCGCAACAACCGCTACTAAATTTCAAATGGTTTAAAAGAAAGCGTTTTTTATAAGGTGTCATTGAGGTGGTAATAAATTGCGGAAAATGAGCATCGGAGCACAAGCATATACAGCTAGTGTCTGGCGAGAAAAGTTTTGCAAAACCTTATTTCAGAACAGATGAAATATGTGCGTTTTCTGTGTCTTGAATGACACGTCGCTCAAATAACCTGAAACCGCATCCCACTTTGCATCACAATTATGCTTTGACAAATATGTAGCGCGAAACATGTTACCAGTATTCTCCATTGAGCATCACTACCTTAATATGCATTCAGAGTTTAAACTGATGAGTAGCAAACTCCAAAATATGCTGAGACAGCCAGTTTCAAAAGTTCCATAGCACATGTTCGAATGAAAGAAATGGCAGTGGGAAAATCGATGCGTGCAACACTTCTGCATAGCGTATGGACCATTAACTGGAAAAGAGCGAGCTGAATTTGTATGACATGTGGACACCACTTGAAAAAAAATAAGCTCCTTATGTTGTGTGCACACTAGCCTACACCAACATGTCGTATTAGCGGCTGAACTACATATTGCTTATCCACTGTGCGTGTTTATTGAACATCAAGCTAACCTTACTACGAAGGTTCGTTTATAATGTTGACGAACTTGCAGGTTGCAACTGGCTCTACAACAGTGTTCGTACATTTCTTACACCCTAAAGCAACCAACAAGAAACAACGCTGTGATCGTTTAATTTGCTGCAGTCCCGTTTCATAACAACAAAAAACAAATCAAGCCCAACAACTGGCCGTGAGAAAAGTCACGTAAGTTAATTCAATATGGAGGTCATCAAAGATGAGAAAAACAAACAAAGCACACAGCTGTTCAGAACCCCAATATTTTCTCTCCATTTAGAACGTACTACAACTGGCTCACATTGACAATCATGTGCACATTAAAAAAATAGCAATTTTAGCACCACTGCCTTGGCTAGCATGGAATAGGATGGTATTTCAATTAAGCAAACAGCTGTGTGCACTTGGGAACAGGCTGAAAAGCATGTTCCTAACAATCTCGCGTAAGCACGATTATCAGCATAGCTAGATCACAAATTACTATCCGAATCATGCCATGTTATTTCATGTCGCTATCTACAAACAGGACTTTAACGACAGAGAGAATGATGCAGTCACCCGAAACACCAAATTGAGCGCACCAAAACTGGAAGAGACAGGTGTCGGACTTGTGCCTTCAGATCGCCTCCACAGCGTGTCCCTGAGAAATCAGTTCTGCAGCTACATTCAAGTCTTCCTTGGTGTTGGTGTCAACCAGCTCAACTGAGTATTTAAATCCAGGAAGGCCGTCTTCTTTCTTGGTCTTGCTCACAACCTTTGCCATTATCACTTTCCACTGTGCAGCGTGCGACAGTGTCTCGAACAGGTCGGACGCCTCTTCCGTCCACTGGGTTCCATCGCGCGGCTGGACCCCAGCCAGAGAGCATTCTATGGCTTGCAGGGGAAGGTATCGATACTCGTCCCGCAGCGTGCAGAGTTCTTTGGTCTTGTACTGGCCCTTCTCGCCAAAGTCGACATAGTGGACCTTGATCATGGTTTCGTCCGGTGAGTAGTCGCTCTCCTCCACAGCGACGACGCGCACCCGGTACCAGCACTTGTCCTGCGTGAAGGGGGACGCCACGATTTCGCCGATGGCAACCGAGGTGAGGGCATGGCTCTCCTGGTTCGGCTCGTGGGAGTAGTAATTGGTCATGTCTTCGACGAGCTTGTCCAGGTCGATGGACTGCGTGCCAACCAGCTGCACCCAAAAGCAGCCGGGGTTCTCCAGTGATGAAATGTAGACCTCAATGTAGCCATCGGCGGATGTGGCGACCAACTCCTCTTGTACGTAGTCTGGCTCCTTTTCGTCCTTTCAAATGTTGGAAGGAAAATGTAAGAAAAATAAAATGTAGGCAGTTCTACAAATTATTGTGCCCTAATGACACTCGTGTGATAGCTACAACAGCCATGCAAACATAGTCGAAACTACTTTTGGAACAATCGCCATCAAATTCAAAGTGCTATTCAAGCACTTTGAATTTTGAAATATTTGAACAAGCACTAGAGCATTTCAATTAGCTTCGATTTGAATTCAATTTATTGGAAGTTTTGAAATATTCGAAGTGAATGAACAAGTGTACGCCAATCTGCAGGTACCCTACTGTAAAGGTGGTTTTACCGCAGTACAGAAGTGCTGTACCAAGAATAGACCTATCAATTGAAGATCCGCACTGCTGTGAAACCCCACTTCAAACAGCCTGTGTTAAGGGCCAGTTGGTAAAACGTACTATGCCTAGAAATAAGACGCATGAAGAAACAAGTTCATTTCTTTTTTTTCTTTTGTCTTGTTTCTAGGTGTAGTTTGTTCCCCACTTCAAGGTTAATTGAACATCTTATTCTCACATTAAAACATCGTTTTTAAAGTTTAGAGGCTAGTTATACTGGCTGCTATGCTCTAAGCATAGTCAATTTCAAAGCGTGACATATTTGACAGGCTGACACTTCATTCTACCGAAAATCAAATCCTGCCACTATTCAATGTTCCAATTCTACTGAAGAGAATGACATAAACAAGCCTTGTTTCAGTTTTCGGTTTCGATCGTACACCATAGTTGGGTGATGGCAAATATGCTCACTTTTCTTCTTAATATGCAGTATACCTATACAATTCTAAATAATTCAGGCAAATCACTATTCGCTCCAAACCTAAAATATACGACTATTCGCACAATCCTAAGCATACCCATTCTAGGCAACCATTGGCAGCCACTCTATTTGCAATGTCGCAATAAATTGATAATCGTCATAAGCCCAGTCGTATAAAAATAAAGGAAAGGCAAATGGTATCGCCCTCTTCATCTCTTTTCAGCTGCTGGTTGCGTCGGCTCGCTTCACTCAATAAGTGGCCCTTGTTTAACACGAGACAGGTGCACAGTTTTCTCCCAATGCATTATTTACCGTAGTCGCCATCCTTCATGATGCGAATGCGTGCAACAAGTGGTGGGAGTTGGCTTTTTGAAAGCTGGAAGCCACCAACCTTTGTCGCCCATCAAAGATTATCTGCAAGAAAGAACTAGGGGGGCCACCTTGTACTCTGCTGTACTGGGTAAATCAGGAGATGCACAATCGACCCTTCCTCTCCTCTCTCCAGCAGCGTTGCTGTGCGTGCGGAAGGCATCTCACTCGCAAGTGTTCGCTTGCTGGCGCATTCTTATCTTTGGAAGAGTGAAAAAGATGTAGAAGACAACTGCTTGAGGCATGCGGTATGAAGAAGGCCACAAAACTGGCTCTATTTTTTTAACAGCATGCCGAGTCTCATGTGGACTCAAATTGTCTTCGTTATTCAGGTATTTTGCGCTACTGCACAGACACCCAGCAGCCTGATCCAACAGTTGCAACTGGTAGTCTGGCATTGGAAAATTGTAGAAAGTAGTTAATTTCATCATAAATGACCCGGGAACGTTCACTGTAGCTGTTCATTACTATACATACATTTGATATACAGTAGCTTCTCACTAAATGAAAATCTGTGAAAATAGAACTGCTGCTTGAATGAAACAACTGCCTCCGAGATTACTGGTTTTATACCTGTATACTTCACCCCTGTTCCATCTCTCAGTAAGTGGAACTCTTGTTAAATGGAACCTTATTTTCCCAGTACCTTCAGGTTCCCTTTAATGAGCATCTACTGTATTAAGACTGCCTCGGTGTAATGTTCCCTGTTTTGTGCTATGCTTACGGTTTCCCACTCAGTCATGACCAGTAAGCGAAGAAATTGCTGTATTTAGCTGCACGCTCCACAGCTGCAGCATGCATCAGGAGCTCAAAATACGCCTAAAGAACAGAAAAATTAAGAGTGGCGTTCACGAATAGCGCAATGTCATCCGAAATACTGACTGTCGAAGTGTCTAGGCATGAAATTGAAGTAGATGTAGGTATTGGAGACAAACTTAAAAGTTGCACAGCACGTCACTGTATGGATTCAAGCCCGCCAGGACTCGCTTACTCTGTACCATACATAGTGGTCAATACTGCAGAGGCTACGCAAGACAGTCGGACAGCAAAATGTATAACTCCACGTGTCTCATAGTTGTGTTTTGTCACTGTAAGTGCTCGAGCAAGCAGAGCAAGGGCAAGCGTGTCCATGCATTGCGATGCTCTCAAGGAAAAACAATGAACTGAATGCAACAAAGCACCAAGAGATGTAGTACAACATGTTCACAGCTGTAGAACAGTGTTCCAATTTCTTACTAAGCGTAAAACTCAAAAAATTTGTACGGCGGGTGCTAAAGATGGGTCAAGTATTTCCTGGCATGAACACATCTACTTCACTAAGTCTCACTAGCCTCCTTCCACAGTGTTGATATCTATGTATATGAAACGAAGTATAGGCAGTGCTGCAATGTCCACTTGTTTTGTTTCGGTCATCTGTTCGACTATTGGTCCCCCCATGCTCGTCACAGCTGGACAGATCGCAGAGATGCAGCACAATGGTTGCAGTGAATGAATTCATCATTCAGAGGCCATGCCACTGGGTTGCTTCCAGCCAGAAATTACTCCAGGTTTGTGGAGGCCGAATCCCTCGGTGCTGTTTTGTACCTACAAATTTGCTCAGCACTCCGATCGGCTAACTTCGGAGTGGTTCGATCACTTGCTCAAAGCGAAGTGGCCGACTATGTGCAGCTGTACTTGCGCATGCCGTAACAATGAAGGGGGAGGTAGGAAGCAGTGAGCTAAAACTGTGTACTGTTGTCACCAGTACCGTTGAAAGTAGCTACTACAATTGGATAGACAATATGCAGAGTGTTCACTGCGTTTCTTCATTTTTTTTTAACAAATGGCTCAGCCTGAGACACCCCATGGCATTTCAATAATGGCCTTCTGGTATACAAGATTTTTAGGGGTCCAGGGTGCACTCTCTTTTCAAGCAAGGAGAGTTTGGCTACGCAGTGTGCCACTTCAGGCTACACACTACTACGCATTTATACTCTACAACAGTACCAAACCTGCTACAATTCCAGGAGTGAGGGCTACTTTTGTGCGGACTGCCCTTCGCGGATCTTACTGAACAGTGTACCCCTCTGAAACCAGCAAAGTACCATGCAGAAAATAAGCATCTTCTGCCAGTCAGTGCTTCTAGTTGACACTACATTAATTTCTATAACTTAGCGGAAAAATTAACACACTTGCAAGAAGAAAACACGAACAGATGAGGTCCCTATACGTTAGTGTTTTGTGCTAGTGTGCGATTTTTCTGTGATAAAATTAGTTGGGACGCTGGTAGACCAACTAACCCACTAAACTGTCCTTTTCGAGTGCTATGGCCTACTGCCACCACAAAAATTGGCTGCCGCAATTTGGAAACAGTTGTTTGGACCTGTTATAGGTGTTGTTTCGTCCAAATGTAACACATTGGTGCTTACTTTAGGCCGCTAACACATACCCAATTCCCAGGTATCCGCCATCCTAGTCCCTACCTTAGACAATGGCGATGCGCTAGCCTTGATGGCCATGGGACGGCTGCGGTAGAGTGCCTTCTGGCCCACAGATGCGAACACCACACTCTGCTGGTAGGCCTCATCTTCGGCCAACTTCTCGTCAATCATGGTGATGGCCATGTGGATCTGCTCGCGAGTGCCCGTGATGCTGACGGTCTTGAGGTTGCCATTTCGTTCACGGTCGTCACCACCTCCTCTGTCTACGAGAATCTTGGCTGAACTGACTCGGCACATGTGACTGCGAGTAGACAAGCACGAACTCGTTAAAAAAAAATGCTGAACAAACACAGGAAAAAAGGAGGAAAGCAGCGGAATCCCTTTCGGTAGACGCAATTGTTTCTACAAACAAACTTTCTTCGACATATTTTTAAAAGGAATACCGAGTGAAAATTGGAAAACCTGATGAGACTTCGAAATTCGACATGGAAGATGCCACTGTTCTAACAAAAGGAGTTTATTTCCCGTATTTTCAAACAGTTGGTTGCATTTTCGAAGAATTTTCTGCGTGTGATGGCTGCTCGCGAGCGGGAGTCGTGACGTCAAACTCACCGAGGCGCATGCAGAATGCGCGTCTTTTGGTCCTCCTCTTCCTTTTCTCCACTTTTTTCACTCCGCTCTTTCCCTTCCACAAAACCGCCGGTGCTTTGGCCCAGCCAGAAGCATCATTCTTTGCTGTTGCGGTTCATACCGGTTCTAGGAACCGAAGGGCAAGATGAGCGAGTTGAGGGACCCGGGCAATGGCTGGCATAGTTGGTTTGCCAGTTTCAAGTGATTTCGACGTCGCCAAACACCACCTTCTCTAGTTGACGCGACATTTTGTGAGAAATGCACTAAATTCATTATTCTTCCGTAGTTTCCGCATGGAATGAAGATTGTGTCCATCGATTTCAGGATTCAATCTATCAATTTGGCTGAAGATATTGGTGCCAAAAATTTTGTTCAGTGTCCTATTAAACAGCTACCATTACTCGCATCTTCACTGTGAACAAGGCTTGCGTGAAGAATCCAAAACGTTTTTCATTTTGGGAACTTCCACGCTCGGTGGCCATTTTCAATTTTTTTTTTTTTTTTCACGCCTTATCCACATAGGCGTGTGCAGGATTCCACTACAGATGGGTGGTGGTGGGGGAGTGATAATGGTTTTCTACAGAACTCTCTTTTTCTATTATTTATCAATGTACAGGGCTGACATTGTGCATGCCTATACTTATCCAGACCGGACACCTTCCAGTTCAACTTCTGACTTGGTGTAGTTTTATTGACACCAACCTTCAATCTTGAAGAAGCGGCATGTAGTCTAGCTACGTGCAATCTGACTCGAAGATGTTTTGACTGCAGTTTATGTTCACTGTTCATGCATGCTTCACAAAAAAAAAAAAAAAGAACACTGCCAATAACTAAAAGAAAGCCTTAGTTGCAGCAAGGTCAGAGGTCTGCTAAAGCGATATTCTGGCTCCCAGTCCAACAGCACTGGGAGTCAGATTATGTAAAAAAAAAAATGTCCTAAGTCCAAGAGTTGTGAGATTTTCTTGTAACATATGATATGGTTTGCAATGCAATGAAACACGCCTACAGAAGGCATGACATGAGCGCTATGAGCGGACACTAGAGTGCAGGTGCCTTAACTCACCGAACAGTTTCCCCGTTTTTTCCAATAATGCGGCCACACGACTTTGCAGGAACGAACACAGTCTCGGTGACTACACTCGACTGCTCCTCTATGGATGCCTTGAGTAGCTGTTCGGCCTGCTCGACATCACTTGGGGCACCACGAATCAGAGCCACTCTGTCGCACTCCTCACCAGGGCCTAGAAAGAAAAAGGAAATCCTGTAACTTAATACTGATGGCACACTAAAGCATTAAGGAGACCCCTTAAAAAGGGGATTTCAGCTCATCATACAAAAAAAGATTGCAGCTGAAAAAATAATTTGCCAACACAACATTCCTTTCGAAAGCAAGTTCACGGAATATATATACCTTTATGGAACGTGCAACAGTTTCTGAGCCCTCCGAGAAACTCTCTAGGAATGCATCATAAATAGTTCGCGAGAGTATACAAGCTTCTGCAACTTCAATGATAATAATATCTGGGGTATTAAGCCCCAAAACCACAATACGATTATGAGAGACGCCATAGTGGAGGGCTCCAAAAATATTGACCGTCAGGGGTTCTTTAACGCGCACGGATATCGCACAGTGCACGGGCTTCTACTATTTCGATTTCATCGAAATGCGACCGCCGGGATCGAACCAGCGACCTTCGGGACAGCAGCCGGGCTCTGTAGCCACAGTTCCACTGAAGTGGACCTCCTGTAACTTTAGCGAAGAGGGAGCAACAAAAACGAAACGCTTCATCAGCGTAGGAAACTTCGACTCCTTCGCGACTCAAATCGACCTGTGATGAATTACACGTGTCATCCAATCACTTACCTCGAGTGCAGATTTGCAGTGTGCACCATTCGTACAATAATTCAGTTGTTACGCAATAATTCACTGCTTCGCCATTGACGTAAGTGTCATTTCCCGTGGGTTAACACCACCTCCAACCAGGAAACGGACGGTACAGTTTGGAGTAGCCGCTCTGAGCAAGAAATTGCAACGCGGACTTCTCGTAACGGAGTCTAGCGTTTACGACTGCTACACGTGTCCAATCGTCACCCTCTGCTACTGAACCAAACGCTGGACGATACACAGCATGATGGATGCAAAGAAACGAGGCAGCTGTCATGCAGTGCTATCTTTAACCAACGCTTCAACTAGCCTCCTGGACAGATGCGAGCGGCGGTTGTTGCTTCGCCTGCGTACTGGCAGCGTCTGGCCTGCGGCACGCATGTATTCCGCGGGTCGCTCTTCATCGCCAGCGTGCCGAAGGTGCGGTGATGACGAAACGCTGCAGCATATTGTTTGCTCCTGCCCTGACCTGGCCACTGAGCGTTGCGCACTGGTAAGCCGCTATCGTCTGCTTGGACTACCTGCCGAAACAATGGAAGACATACTTTTTCCCGCGCGCTCGAAGACGAAAGCCCTTCGAGCCTTCCTCGAGTTCTGTGCTTGCGCGGACCTCGCCGCCTTATAGACGGACTCTTTTCACTCGCACTACTGACTGTACTGACAAGACGTTCTCTTGCCATGACATTCACTTTTTCTTTCCTTCCTCTCTTCTTCCTATCATCTTTACTTCCCCTTCCCCGATCCCTAAAGGCGCTGAGCCGTGCCCCCGCGACGGGAGGCAGAAAATAGCGTCCTTTTTGTCTCTTCCTCTTTCATTAATCTCTCTCTCTCTCTCTCTCTCAACTAGCCAGCGTCGCTGACACGTCGAGCACGTTGTTTCCTCTCACCTTGGTTGTCGAAGCTGATCTTGGTGTTCGTCTTCTCCTGGATTCGCTTGATGTTGGCGCCCTGCCGTCCGATCACACCGCCGACAATTTTCTTGGGGACGGTAACCTTTACCACGGCATGTTTCGTCGTTTCCACTTGTCGCCGCTTCACCTCGTACTCATCCTCCGGTTTCAGCAGCAGGTAAAGCACGACCGACGACATCGTCACGGTAGCCCCTAAGCCGGCCCATAGCGCTATCGTTTTCAGTCTGGAGTCCATGTCATTGATAGAGGTGAATACTTAGTATAAGCTGCGCATCTTCCGGATCGTTGCTCTCATGATCTTTCCGCGTGTTCCCTATCAACACGCACGGACGCACGCCGCCTGTATCAACGTTTTTGCTTGTCTGGCAGTCGCGTTCGGTAACTGAGCGAATGCCGACCAGGGTTACCAGACGGTGCAAACCTCGAACAGTCAAATCGGACCTCGCAGCAGCTCAAACGTAGCCGAATGAATAAATTTTAAGTGGCCCTAAAATAGCCCAAATCAGTTGTTCCTGTGGAAAAAATTTGTGCTTATAAGAGTAATTTTTAAAAGCCTCGTTTGTTAATAAGCAAAGTAGGACGCTTAGTATTTGGCAGCCTGAAAGCTTAAATGGCGCTCTTGCTTTTTTTTTTCTTTTTTTTGCGGTATGAGTGAAATACTTGTATCGCGTAATATATTTTTATTTTTGTCATTCACAATGATAATTTGCTTATGTAGAATATGAAAGAAGTTTATTGCCGTTTTCAAAAAAAAAAAAAAACTTTCCACGGGAAACGAAGTAAACTGAAAGCTTATTTACAAGCAGATATTGCGAAAACGTTAATGAAGGCTGATCAGATGTACCTTAGCAGGGAAAGGTAAACTTACAAGTCGACAGAAATCCAGACACCGTGAAGCTCTTAGAAAAAAGAAAACCCACTGCAAAAAATAAAAAAAAACGAACAAACGGTATGTAAGAAAGCAAGTTACAAAACAGTGGCATACAAAACCAGCTGTCCTTCCATATCGCTGAAGCACCCAGAGTTCACAGAACCCAGTTAATTAGCAACCGCAAAGTTTCTGGGGACTGCAAGAGGAGCAACCAAGCTCATCATAACAAGCTTAGCATGGCAATGTTCTGTACACTTTTTACTGTACACTTAGCCCTGATTTCATGATTGATAAGTGGGGATTAACGTCACAAAACCACCATATGATTATGAGAGACGCCGCAATGGAGGGCTCCGGATATTTCAACCACCTGGAAAATTTGAGCACAGGGGCCTATGGCATTTTCGCCTCCATCGAAAATGCAGCTGCCGCAGCAGGGGTTCAATCCAGCGACCTGCCGCCGAGTACCTTAAAACCAACGCGGTGGGGCACTTATTTATGCAGCCTTACATCACAATTTTATGTATGAATGTCACCTTTTTTTTTTATATGAGCATCTATAGTGCGGGGCACCTACAGGGAAACACCAAAAGAGAAACGAGAAAAAAGGAAGACAGGAAGCGTCCGTCGGTCGTCTGTCTGTTTGACGCACGGACAGACGCATGGACGGATGCTCGGAGGAACGCAGGGACGGACGCACGCATGACTGCATGGATGTACGGACGGACGGATGGACGAACGCTTCGCCCCAGTCATCATTCACTGCGTGTATATGCTGGGAACTTTTGCTTTTTGTCTACGCTGCGTGTAGTGTCTTTTTGCGATTCTCGAGGCAAGATTTAAAGGAGCCCTCCAACACTTTTGTTTTTGTTTGTGTTTTGCGTAGACCGATGGCAGGGGGATCCAAGCGCCGATATCAAATCATTTAGTATTTTAATTGTGCAACAAAGTCACCTCATAGCTGCTGACTGTGTCGGCGCACAGTGGCGCTCGGGCGGAAATGAAGATGATCAGCGCAGCCTATCACAGGACGCGTAAAGCCTCGCTCCGAAGCGAAGGGGCCTGCTCGAGTTCTGACAAGTTGGGGAGGCTCATTTCTACCAGTCTCACCCAGCTAGCCACCTTGACCGCGTTAACAAAACGGCATTACAGTGAACTAGAAGGTTTCTAGTTCACTGTAACGTATTCTAGTTTCACTGTAACGTTTCTAGTTCACTGTAACGTATTCTGTAACGTATTCTAGAAGTATTCTAGTTCACTGTAACGGCATGGTCAGGAACCACGTTGCCTGTTGCTATAACAACAGCATCGGAAACACATTTGACTGAACAGGCAACAATGGTGTACAAGCTTCCTCTACGTAAAAGCTTTCAGCCTATGTCATTGGAGGCCCCCTGCAACGTCACAGCAGAGAGTGGAAGAGTGGTCATGTCACCCCGCGTAATTCAAGTTGAGGGTAGGCATTTTTTCTTGTATTTTTCATTTTTTAAAATTGAATAACTTCGTACTGCTTGCATTATCGCTACCGTTCTTGCTGCACTAATTAGTCCGTGCGGCGTCAGTCTATGCAGTCCACGAGTAATAATTGGGGGTTGAAAAGTGTTATAGAGCCCCTTAGGACATTATATATATATATATATATATATATATATATATATATATATATATATATATATATCTGTGTGTGTGTGTGTGTGTTATCGTTTCATGAGCCAAAACCCAGATATGAACGTGAGGCGCGTCGTACTTTACGGCTCCGGAAATTCGGTTTTTAGCATGCTCTCGCATCTGAATGCAGCCGTCATGGCCGGTATTGAACCTGCGACTTTCGGGACATCACCAGAGCGCGGTAGCCATGTACCACAACGGCGCACTTGAGGTACGCGTTGGTTTCTTATTGCAACAAATAAAAGAAAAAGAACAAATGGCGGCACGAGAAAAGGTAAAGCAATGACTACAAATACATCTACCTTCGTTATTTGCTGATGCTCTTGACATACTTGTAAGCCATGCCAGTTATTGGGTTGCATTTCAAAAGCGCAGGGTGTACGCGAAAAGGCCATCGCATGGAAGCTATCCAACTGCTTCAGATCTACTGTTTAAGCGCTTTCGTCACTTTCTGAGACCGTAGATTAGGCGCCGTGTGGGCCATATCCTGCGATTTTGTTTTGCGCATCTTTGCTTCCATTTCTTTCTTCCGCAGTGTGCCGCGCACAGATCTCGCTGATAGGACGGCAAAGAACAATCTCATGACAAAATGGCGCCACAAGATGTGGTTGCAACAGCGCATGCATGAATATCGGAAAATTGCTGTTAAAAAATGTATACACGTGGGCTGCCCGCCTTCATTTTTCATTCACTGCCGGTCGCGCTGCGCATTCTGTAGATGGTATAGTTCGTCGGCGCCATGTAGAATGGCTTGCTTCGGGCACGGGGTGTGCAATAGCTGTATAGTACGTACGAGTCGCCTTTCAACTTTTTTTTTTTTATTTGTGTGTGGACTTTACCTACGGACTTTACCTGGACTTATGGAGCTGTGCACGACGATCCCGTCGCCTGATCTGAATCGGAACCGTACGAAGTGAAAAAGTACTGGTTGCAAGCACACAACTGCCGCTAATATGCCAATACTATAGCGATCTTTAAAAAATTACTGCCAAAGAAAGGTGGGAACACCGGTACGGTAATGCCAAATGTGTCTCTACCAAAGTAACAAAATCAGAAAAGTGTTATGGCATTGTTTTAAATGCGAAGCATTTCTTAGTGAACTTCGGCGACTTTGAGAGTAAATATCTATCTATCTATCTATCTATCTATCTATCTATCTATCTATCTATCTATCTATCTATCTATCTATCTATCTATCTATCTATCTATCTATCTATCTATCTATCTATCTATCTATCTATCTATCTATCTATCTATCTATCTATCTATCTATCTAGCCGCTTACGACTTTTAGCTGTCCTGGCCGTTTCGATGATGGTATCGGTACCAAACTTGGTATGGCGTAACATGACTGCATGAAGAACTAATTTGACTCGTCATAACATGAAAATCATGACATGTATGTCATGAATGTCCTGATTTATATTTCATGGTCCACCAACTCTTGTGGTGGTTTCGTTCACATGACATGTTGCAAAACTGGTATGGTATGGCATGATTGCATGGCGAACACAAGCGACAGACCCCAACATGAAAATCATGACATGCGTGTCATGTAACAACATGACTGCATGCCACGCTCATGATGAGTTCACGGCCGTTTCGCTTGCGTCACATATACCAAATTTGGTATAACAGTACGTGAATGGATGACGAAGGTATGATACTGGTGCAAACATGATAAACATAAAACGCGTGTCATGTAACAACATGACTACATGCCACGCTCATGACGCACTCGCGGCCGTTTCGTTAGCTTCACATATGCCAAATTTTGTATTACGTGATGTCAATGGGTGACTATAGGGTAAAACATGATCATCATGAGATGCGTATCATGTGAGAACATGACTACATGCCATGTTCATGTGAGAACATGTCATGTGAGAACATGTCAAGGCGTCAACAGTTCATTTCGTCCCGTCACGGCGGCGTTTCCACGCCAGGTGCCGGTCCTGCCACATATTCGCAGGAGCGCACTGCGCTGCATTGCTTTGACGCATGCGCGTTTCAGCGCATCCGGCGTCCCTCCGTCACGACAGAGGGAGACGCAGTGTTGTCTGGGTAACGCATCGTCGCGAAACAGCATGTCGCATTTAGCGCCGGTTGCCGCCGGGCCGCGCCGACGGACGCTGTTCACGTCGGTCAGGCCTGGCGTATATCATGGTGCTCGCGTTTTGCTAGCGTAGTAGCGTCGCTGCGCCCAGTGTGCGCGCCCGTCAACGTTACGTCGGAGTATATTGGGCCTGTCATGATGCGCTCGCCGCCGTTTCGCTATCTTCACATATACCGAGTTTGGTGGTACGTGACGTCAATGGATGACAAAATATATGAGTGGTGCAAACATGGTAATTCTGTGACGCGTATCTCGTAAGAACATAGCAACATACCACGCTCGCTGCGTGCTCGCGGCCGTTTCGCTAGCTCCACATACAATAAACTGGGTATAACGTGACGTCAGTAGAGGACGAAGGTAAACGACACATCCAAACATGACACGTAAGTCATGTATGGCATCATTTACCTCCCCTTCGTAACGTTGTGCTAATTTTAAAGTGTCATATCAACCCTTCTTATTCGTGCTTCGCATATCATCGATTCACACTGTACGTGGGATCCACCATTTTTTTTCGTCTTTTTTTTTTCACCTCTGACAACAGAGTTGTCAACAGGCTGCGGTAAATCCATTGAAAAACGACGCACTGCTATGTTGTTCTGCCAGCTCGCTATGCGCACAACAGTGAAATGCCTGGAAGGGCCGCCCCGTGGGTAAGGTGGTTTTAGCCACACTATCGTGGGTTCTAATTGCCGCTGCTAGGCGGCGCGACGTGTAC